TGGATCAACAAAATTATACCTGTGATTCACCTGAAAATGATTGTAGTTTGCTTCGTTGAGTTGTTTGGTGTTGTATCCTTTCCAACAATCGGAATAAATGGTTCTTCCCTCTTCTACATTGTTTTTAATGGCTTCTAATAAAGTTGTTGCTGTTCTATCGTTTATTTTAACGATAAAACACTCGTCTGTTTCTCGGCAAACTCCGCCAAACATCCATTGCTCAGGTAGGACTCTCCCCACATGATTTTTTTTTTTTTTTAAAAAAAGACTTTCATCTACTTCGACGACTTTGCCAGACCCTCCAATTTTTTTACTCGACCTGTATAACATGTCATGGGCACAAACTTCTCTTAAAAATTTGTTCCATGCTACGACAGTTCCGATGGATAGTTTGAGCTGCTCTTTTCCCCACTGTATTGTAGTTCAATTATGGGACCACCCATAAATGAATTTTAAAGCCGTTAAAAAAGAAATCCTCGACCCCTCTAACCACGTTCCTTTCCTTATAGAAACGGTTTTGTTACACCTACGAAAGTATCTCCATTTAATCTTCCCGTCAAACTTCATTTTATGACCCTCATCACAATATTTCACCTTATCAAATATACCGGCGTCTTGAAAATATTTGATAGCCTCTTCTTCTGAAGACGGCATTTCCCACAATGTGAGTAGATCCATAATTAAATAAACTCACACCTGGCACAAGAAACAAAAACTAAACAACAGAATAACTTAGGTTAGATGAAATAAGGGAGGTTATCTGAAATGAGATTAGATAAGTAGAGAAGTTTTGACGCTACCCGCTACTGGATAAGTACCGTTTGATTTGTTGGATTATATCAACCTCCTTATATATACCTTTCAGCTCTATGTTAGCTCTTCTCCTCCATACACCATTCTGACAAAGTGGCCCATAAACTTTTTCTTGAACTTATCTCTTAGAACATCATAGTAATCAAGATATATGAGCTTTAAGTGTGAGGGTCCATGTTTCAATGGTCAATCAATATAGGTCGAATGAGAGCTTTGCAAATCTCAATTTGTGAGGGTTTCAATATAAGGCTGCTTGGGAGATATTTCTGTAACACAAAATAGCACCGCTACTACAACTACTTTCTCCTTTCGGTATCTACACCAATTTTATTTTGTTCACCTGTAATTCAAGGTATATAAAATCCTCAAACTTTTCAATCATCTGTCCTAGTTTTATGTTTATGTTTCTTACCTGATTATATACTGTGAGATTCGTATTATGGTACTTGGTTTTATTTAAGTTCACCATCAGTAGTTCCATTTTAGCAGCAGTATTCTTCAATGCTATAATGCATCTTTAACAACCTCATCGTACCCTATGTTAAAGTTTGTCATCCAAATATCTTTTCGCTGGAAGTGCTATCTACCATCATTATCCTTTTGAGGCTCACAAGCTTTGAAGAATTCATTTTAGTAGCTTTATATATAACTCTAGATTTATACAGTCGTTCATGGTCATAGAAATTGCATCATCCAATAAAATTTTTATTTTATTTACCAGATTGCTATCTGCAAGATCTCTTATTTCTTTGCAATAAAGTATTTCTTTGCCCCTTTTGAAGCGATATTCTAAAAACTATTGCACCATTAAGCGGTCTATTTGTTTTTTTCTCCTCCCAGTTGTTTTCTTTCACTCTTTAGTGCCCCCAGTTTTTTTGTTTTTTTTTCAAAACTATGACTACTTTTGATTGGTGGTACCCTTTCCTCTTTGCTATTTCCTGTGAAAATTCCTTCGCTTCACAATTTTAATATTTTCAGATGAGGACAGTTGTTTGAAACTGGTCATAATTACAGCTTTTATTCTCGCATTAGTTACTGAACAGAGAAACATTGTTTAAGTTTTCTTGAACAAAAACAAAAACCATTCAATGGGGTCAACGTTATCAATATAAGAATAAAAAAATTAGGTGATGCAATTTCTATGACCATAACTGTATATAAGGATTTATAATCATCTCACGTTAATATTAATTTAGTAATAGTTTCATAAATAGAAGTCATTAAAAATAAATACAATTTTATTTATAACTTGTTATGAGTATAGGTTTTTTTAAATGAAGTTTTTAAATTTGATAACTGTGAATACCAAATGTTCCGGAAAGAATTAGGAGAATACCATCTGCTGGGCACATCTCAATGGCTTCTGTTCCAGGAGTATACCATTGTTAATGGGTTGATAGAAGATAAAATTAATTCTTGCAATTTCTGAATTAGTTGTCATTAAGGAACAATAAAGTAAACAATCTTCAGTGCATAGATTAGGTTTGTAGTACGTTGAAAGATTTATCTTTTGGGGCAGTCTTGAAACCATTAGAGAAAGGGTGAAATGGAGAGAAGCAGGTAGCTTTAGTAGGTGATTACAATGGTTTGCAGCTTGCATCGGCCTTGAGGGAGTTCGACTTCCTGCAAGAAGAAGAACGTCCCGTCCCAGCGCCTCGCACCATCATCAACAGCACCAACACTTCCACTCCATCACCCTTAATAGAGTTTCCACCAGAGCAGGTAGTTTTCACTCTTTTAGCCTGTTGCTTTTAAATTTTGCATGTTTCTTTTCCTTTTGTAAGATAAGTTCACACTCTATCAGATATAAGTTTTCTTCTTTTTTTCTTCGGTATTGGAATTCAGCAAAACTCTCTATCATGCATGGCTTTGCCTAATTATTATATTAGATTTGGTTTACTTTTTCATTTAGATGTTTCTTTAATTTTTTTAACCTGAATACACTAACGATTATTAAACTTTTTAAAATGAAAATAATTGTGTTTATTTTTTAAGAAATTAGTTCTTATTTCCTTTTTTTCAGAGCTATTTATCTTGTTTCATCTATGTGTTTATGACGAATAAGTCTCCATTGTATAATCTATTTATTACACTTTTACTACATATCATTTATTTATAAGAAATTTATACTTATTTTCAGTTCTCAGTTGGTATTGGTTAAGGTTTTTTTTTCTTTATTTACTTCTCAGTATCTAATATAACCTAATTATAGTAGAGTTCTGCTAATCAGGATGGAATTATAAAAATATTTTTTTAAATAATTTAATTTAGTGAGCATTAAATATAAAATTAATTAAAGTTTTTTTTTTTTTTTGTAATTTTGTGTGGAAATGACAACTCAATATAGTGCAAAGTATCTGTAATTATGAGCAGAAATTCCATGCTTTCAAAGCTATGTTGAGGAATCTTTAACTTAGTTCGTATAGGTGGTTAACAGACTGTTTTGTGACTGAAAAAGAATGGAAAGAAATTTAAAATTTTTGAAAGACAGTTCAGTACAACAATTAAGTGGTTATGCAGTGGAACACATTAAAAAAAAAACATTTTTTTTCTTATCCCCAAAGATTAGTGGTTGGGATTTTCATATGCTTCTTTATGGGATGGAGTCCTTTCTACTGCAATTTATTTGATCATGCATTTTAAGTGAGTTTAAGGTTTTAAAAATTGTTATGTGCTGAGTCCTTTTAGATGAGATTTTTTAAGTAAAATTAATGGGACATTACATACTTTTTTCATTGATACTGACTTTTTTAATGTAATTTTTACTTAATAACATTAATATACAGTTTGTTTTTGGAATCTGTGTAATAAATACATTTTGAGGTTTAATCATAAAGATGTTTGCTAAAGTTATTTCAGTTTCATGAAAAGCTTCGATTAACGTGTATTTCATATAATATAAAAAATTAGCTGGATCGTGAGGAAAAGAATATTTACAGCCGTTATCGTTTAATTCAGCTTTACGGTGATCTGAAAAATGTCTGGTCCTACCTAGTCCTGATTGGCATGACTCTACTCTATTAATATTTCTCCTTCATTTAATGATTTTTAATTTTGAATATGCACTGTTTCTGAAATTATTAATATTACTACTTTTCTCATCGTTCATCATCATTTTTTTATATGTTTATTTGTTTGTAATAATATTCATTTTGCAGAGACTTGAGAAAAATGGATAGAAAGGCTTAAAGCTTACTCCCACTTGTGCTACTAAGTTAACACTTTTGTTATGAAAAACATTAATTACAACTATTTCATTTTATTGATAAGATTTATTAAATTTAATCAAAATTTTTAATCCTTCACTTATTAATGAAATATTTTCCTATCTCAGTCCAAATAATGTAATAATATAAATAATGTTTTTTACTAATTTTCTGTTATGAAATTATTATTATTATATTTTAAATTAATATATTTGATCATAAAATAGCCAAGGGTCGTTATTCTTGTATTTTTAATTAGATGAAATTTTGGCTATTCTCAGCCATTTCGAACTCTAAAAGTTATGCATTTCTAATTATTATATAATTATTTTATTTTACCATTGGTAAGTGAATTTTAATAACTGTTTCAAATAAATTTTTAATTATTTATTTCATCTTTTTAAAAAAAAAAAAAATGTTGAAGTTGAAGTTAAAAGATCATTAACTTACTGTATAGCTAAATAGGTGTTGTATGTCCAGATAGTTGAAGGAGATGGACTGGGAGTCAGTCAACTAAGAAAAACATCAGACCAATTCTGATTATTAATTTTGAGATTTGAGCCTTTCAGTTGACAGAATGACTAACTCCAATATCAACATTTTTCATTATTAATTTGAGTGATATTTCTAGTGAGAAAATTTATACCTTTATTCACAGTTCTATATTTCGACATTGCAATCAACTTACTCACTGTCTGTACAAATATTATAAATTTTTCAACTAGAAATAACACTAAGATGATTTTACTCAAAAATGTTGAAATTTAAGTTAGTCATTATGTCAGCTGAAAGGCTCATTTAATATATTGGATTTAAATTAATAATCAGAATTTATGTGGTATTTTTTCTTTTTCAACCAATCTCCTTAAATAGGTATCGATTTAAATTATAGTTAATCCATTTACTGATTATAATTTTGTCTTATAGAAACAGGCTCATAAGATGAATTAATAAAAAGTTATATTTTTTATTTGTTTTCAGCCAAATTATGAAGCTCCATCACCACCTGTGCGAATCGTTGAATATAAAGGTGAAAGTATGTTTGAATCAAGGCGACAATCTCTGTTGTCTCCTGGAATTTCAATGGAAAACTTCCGACTCTTGTCTGTACTAGGAAGGGGACACTTCGGAAAGGTAATTAATGCTAATGATAAAATATAGCTTTAATTTTATTAATAACTCTCTTGTTCAAGATTATAATTACTTTAGTGCATTTTTGTTTTTGTGGATTATGATTTTCTATTTACATTATAAAAGGAAATTTCTATACCATAAACTGGGATAACTTTGCCACTTTAAAAAAAAATATTAAGTGAAACAGCAGGTCTAGTTCCTGAATCAATCTTTGAAGTCATAACTTTTTCCGTTCACAGATAGGTCATTCAGTGATTTACTTATCCCACTCTTTCATCTTTTTCAATTTTTTATGGGACTGTATTATTGTTAGAGATGGACACAAGTTTTTAGCGAATGTTTCACACCCTACCAATTTATTTATTCCTTGATAAAACTATGTAATTTATTTTAAGTAGCATATTATCTCCTTTGAAGATTCTTCTATAGAATTTTTACTAGGCATTACAGTCAGCCATCAATCCACAATTATTAAAATTATAAGTAGTTTTGACAAACTGTCTATCCTATCATCATGAATTAATTTTATGTATTTTTAAGATACTTATTTTTTCATTTATATATTTTTTCAGGTTATACTTTCGCAATATAAGAATACCGGTGAATATTTTGCTATTAAAGCATTGAAGAAAGGAGATATAATCGCAAGAGATGAAGTAGAATCACTGCTGTCAGAAAAGAGAATTTTCGAAGTCGCTAATGCTATGAGGCATCCTTTCTTGGTTAATCTATTCGCTTGTTTTCAAACTGAGGTAATTATGGATTATAATATTTGATTTATACTTACTTTTGATAATTTTGATTGAAACTTATGGTGCTAGTTTAATTTTAAAATCTTATCAATCATCTTCCTTGTAGCAATATTTATGGCAGGACTAGGTATAGTTTGTGATTACTTGGTTTCGTATTTGAATGTTCTTAATACTTTTTATTTCCTCTGTTAATAATTTTATTAATTTTTTATTTAGGTATCTTGTTCTTTCTGGCTCTGATGAAAACCTGCATAGTTGGATTTAAACATCCTCTTAATAAAATAGTTTACACTATTTTAAGGTTTTTTTATGACCATCTTACCAAACCATCTCTTTACTGTTTTTAGGAGATTTGGTCCTCCTTTCAACCAAAATAGACTAAAATAAATTAGGGATGGTTAGATTTAAAGCAGGCTGTAGTTCTATTTTAAAGAAGTTATACTTCGGAAAACATGTTTATTGTGTGTTTATATAACACAATTGTTAGTTCCTTTTCATACTAAATCTGAAAAAAAAAATTTAATAACTCTTTGCATTTCAGGCACATGTTTGTTTTGTCATGGAATATGCACCTGGTGGCGACCTGATGATGCATATACATGCTGATGTATTCTCAGAACCACGTGCAGTATTTTATGCGGCTTGTGTTGTTCTTGGTCTCCAATATCTTCACGAGAGCAGTATCATCTATCGGTGATTATATTTTCCATTGTTTCTCTTTTCCTGTTTTAATCTATTTTGTTATTAATAATTTTATTTTTGTTTTTAGAGATTTGAAATTGGACAATTTATTGTTGGATACAGAAGGCTATGTCAAAATAGCTGATTTTGGTTTGTGTAAAGAGGGAATGGGATTCGGAGACCGAACCGGCACTTTTTGTGGTACGCCAGAGTTTCTCGCTCCTGAAGTATTGACGGAGACCAGTTACACAAGGGCCGTAGACTGGTGGGGCCTTGGAGTTCTCATCTTTGAGATGTTAGTTGGTGAGGTAAGTTATTCAAATAATATTTTATTACTTTTGTTTCTCTGTTACTTTGTAATAATTTAGTGAAATAAGTCTTCTGCAGTAGTGTAATATGCACATAATATTTTAGTCCCCATTTCCGGGAGATGACGAAGAGGAGGTATTTGATTCAATAGTGAATGATGAAGTACGCTATCCCAGGTTCCTTTCACTTGAAGCTATTGCCATCATGAGGAGGGTAATTTTTATTTTCTATGTGATTTTTTTTTAATAAGTTTATCTCATACTTTAATATATTTGTCTGCAAGTGAAAAGTTTGACACTCATTTTTTTTGTATAAATATTAAATCTTATATAACTGGCTATAATTTGTGTTCTTGTATTTTTTTCTTTCTTTCTTTTAAATATAATATTATAACTGGAATATATTTAAGTTGATAATTTGTTCTATATCACAATTGTAAATATTATATACAACTATATAACAAACTATTCGAAATGCAGTTACTGAGGAAAAATCCTGAACGAAGACTTGGTTCAACGGAAAGGGATGCTGAGGATGTTAAGAAGCAGGCTTTCTTCAGAAATATCGCCTGGGAAGAGTTGCTAATGAGAAGAATAAAACCACCTTTCGTACCGACCGTGGTAAGTAAATTTATTTCTATTATTCTCTATATCTGTTTAAATTTGTTTTTATTTTTACTCATTAAAATAAGAAGGTTAATAAGAATAAACAAAATTGTGGATTGATGGTTGACTGAAGTGAATGATTGAAGAGAAGAATGGGTTGATCAATAAAAAAAAAAACTATGGCGAAGCCAGGTGGAGGGTTATTTGTTTGGATTGTTCGCTAATGCACACTCATCTGCCATTATAAATGGTTCAATCTTGATTAATATGAAAATTTACTGTGTTAAGGAATATAAAATTACAAGGAAATAATTTATTAGAGATAAAAATGTAATAATTGCAACACTCTTACATGTTCTGGATGTTTATAGGTAAAAAATACATTATTGCATCGAAACAAGTGTTGTATTATTAACAGCTGGAAAGATTTTAATGTTTGATAGCTCAAATTATGTGATGAGATCCAGATTGTTTTGAAACAATTCGGGCTCACAACATCGACACATCATTGTTTAAAATGTATATTATTTGTCCCTTTAAAGTTATGCAATGACTTATTGAGGGAATGGCTTGACCGATGTTTAAGTTAAATGGTTAAATTATTCAGTGTGGTCTCCTGAATGGTTTGAAACAATTTGAATTCAATAACCTGAAAAAAATATATATTTATATCTTAAGTATTCTAAAATTTTTGTTGATTTCATATCATATGAATTGCTAATTTCCGAAGTGAACCATAATAAATTTTTATGAAAATTAAGATAAATATTGATTGCTATGTAAATGTAAAAACACCCAATTCGATGATGCTATTATTTTTTTCAATAACATAATAGCAGTAAGTTTATTCCCGAAACCGGCCTCTTATTGCAAGGAATAAAATGAAACTTATATTTCTTAAGGATTCTTAATAAAAAAAAAATCATCAAAAGCTTTTTTGAGCCATTTTATTCAAATGAAAATTAAAAATAAATGTATTTTATTGTAAATGAATTGTTAATTTTTTGTAGTACAATTTTTATAACTTTTTTTCATCAAAACATACACCTCTTTTCTTTCCAAAACAAACCCTAATCTATTTCTTTTTTTTAAATGGGCCTCTAAGTTCATTTCTTTTCTAACTGGACCCTATTCAAATTTTATGTTTTTTTTTAATTACTATTATAGTAAACAATGATTTGCCAGAATATTTCCCACAAATAAAAAGTTTGTAAATTTAATTTTTAAAAATACAGATTTTGGTATTACAATTGGAATAGAAAATATATTTGTTTAAATTTCCTAAAAAAATTGTTAATAATGATTAGAGTTTACTTTAGAAATAAATAACTCATATCATGTATAAGATCATGATAATAAATGTTAAATAAAAATTTTTAATACTTAAAAAACTAACTGTTAAAATGAAAACAAATATTCTATTTAAAAAAATAAATAAACTACAAAAAAAAAAATTCCATTCTAAGGGAATATACTTGCATATATATCTAAATAGTTGGGAAAATTGACATTTATAAATATTTAAACTTTGTTTAGTATTAGGGTGTCTTTTACTACACATTACGGCACATGTTTAGTAGATTTCTTTCCATTCATCAGTGCATTTCAACCTCACAAAGAATCTAATTTCGTTCAGGTGGAAAAGGTACTGGACTACTTCGTTAATTTCCCTATCAATCAACAGAGGTGTTTTAGTAGATATGCTAGTATATTCATTTAAGATGGATGAGATTTCCCAATTTCTATAGTCTCTATTTTTTTAATTTTTTTTTCCAAATTACATTTACAACTAACAAAAAAAAAAAAAGTAGTGTAATGTTAAAAGTGAGAACAAAATAGCCCTAGAACCAGGGCCCAAAAATTGACCTGGTGAAGATTTGTTATGTAAATTATAAATGTAATTCATAAATAAATGTAAATTATGAAAAGGTATGTTATTCTAAGTAATTGAAGAGAAGTTGGTTGGGGTGTTCAGTAAAACAAAAACTGAAAATAAATAAATTATATTTATTTTTATATTTGCCGAAATGTCGGCCCAAAGTTCTGAGCTAAGAAAAGACCAGATGAGAAACTGTTAACTTATTAACTTACAAAAGTAAATAAATGAAAAATAGTATTAATAATAATGAAACTATGTCCAGCTTTCTATTTAGGTAATAACTGATTCTCTTTTTACTAATTATTCTTCTGCATTATTAATAATATTTTATTTAGGTGTTGATGCTAATTGTGAAGCTATAGAATTATATTGTTTCCTCTTCTTAGATAAAATCTGCTATCTAATTGTTCATAATATTGAGTGGTAGTATATTTTTATGATGGAATTATAGTTATTCCTGTATGTTTGTTTTAGTTTGCAGATATGGTTAATAGCGCAACGAGCCAGGTTAGAGTACTTGAATGACTTTTCTTTTTTTTTCATTTGAATGAATTTTGTTGTAGTTTTCTTTTTCATGATTGCCATTAGCCTCTACAACCTGCATGTTCTTGCTGTATATTATTTTTTTTTTAATATTATTTTTTTCATTGTCAGTTATGTCAAAGGTAGTTACCAACTGTTTTGAGTATTCACTAAAGAAAACTTATTTAAATTATATTATTTTATTCTTGTATTACAGTAATTAATCAGTGGCGGTTCCTAGATAGTGGCAAAAGGTTTTAACAAAAATACAATTATGTTGGTCAAAGATGTTATGAATACTCTTCAGTGTAGAGTTGTTTCTAATCAAATAGAAATGTCAGTGGGAATTAAAGAGTGTTTTCTTTTTCTTAATGATTGATAAATTGGAGATGAAATTAACTTTTGTATGTTATATTAGCTGTCATAAAAAATTCTTACACCCTAGCAATATGGAACATTATTTTGCTACATCAGTGTACTCACGGTGTATTTTTGGTAGACAATACACCTTCAAAGCGCTACCAATCCACTCTCGGGCAGAGGAACATCACTACTCTAGGATTGCGGGTTGCATCTCACCATAAAGTCATTTTCTTTCTGTGAATTTACTCAATTTATAATAAATAATTTCTTTTTCTTTTTATTATTATAAAGTTAAGGTAAAGAAGCATATTATACCAATTGTGTTCATAATTTTTAAGCTATTGGTTTAATTGTATCAAAATTACAAGCAGCTTGCAAATTATTACACACGATCGAAAGATTGTAAATCAAATCAAAATGGTGGCTGTTAGAGAAGGTGGTAGCTTTCTAAAGTTCTGTATTAGGAGGTCATTTCCCCTCCTTTATGCAAGGTTCTTCTGTGAATTATTTTATGATTGCATTTTGCTTTTCTAAAGCCAAGAGGAATGTGCGAGAATGGAATAACCGCCACTGCAATACCAATTGTTATTATGATTCCGTAGTTTGAGATATTTTATACAGATTACTATGTATTATTATTGTAGATTTAGCATTCAGAATGAACAGTAGTCTTGGTGATTCATGAATGATAAAAGGACTAAGAATAAGTCATAATGAAAATATCCATTACAGAAATTATTTTGCCAATTTTTTTCTATTACTGTTTTATTTTTTGTATAAATAATGTATTTTAGCTTGTTAGTATAAATATAAGGCACATTTATGCGATGACAGTTTGCTGTCTCTACTGCAACAGTTGCTGCCATGGCAGCATTTGTAGTCACACAATCAAGTCTTAGATAACTGTTGACTGCACCTATTATGCTACATAAGTAAGCCTTTGCAGTGAATTATCGCACCATAACTAAGCCTATGGTGATTGTTATGGAAAATATTATTCCCAAATATCATTGTGATGTTATGATTTGACTACCTCTGAATTTATATATAATTAATTCTATATAACGTTTTATATTATCTTATTCTTGGAGGATGAATAAAAACTATTGTTTAGCATTAATAAAAAAAATATATTTAAATGCTTTTTTATTAATTTAGTCTACTTTAAATTAGTTCTGTATTGAAATTAATTAATTAACTTCCTCAAGATTAATTGGCAGCCGGAGGACAAACTCAAACTGTAAAAAAATGAAACTGATGTTTCTTTCCTTAATCTTTCATTATTTTTTACAAATGTAATTATGTTTGTATTACAAGATGATTTTGTAATTTTTTAATGTATGCATATATTAGTGAATATTTCTTAAATAATATCGTAGGATAAGGAAAAACTGTCTCTAACTCACTATTATGATAGCATTACAACAGAAAACTGTCATCGTGTAAAAGAAGGTTTTTATATATCAGCTCCAAATAAACAATATTTAGATATCAGAGTTGATTAAAAGGATACTGTAAATCCGTTAATTGAAATCCTCTAAAGCCCTATTACTAACAATTTAACCTATTTTTTTTTATTTTTTTTTTTAGGCATCGCTTGAAGACGTTAGCAACTTTGATGAAGAGTTCACTTCTGAAAAACCACATTTAACTCCACCAAAAGATCCGAGACCGTTAACTAATAATGAGCAAGATTTGTTCAAAGATTTCACCTACATGGCTGATTGGTGCTAGTACATCCATCAAGCTCCTCTGGATTTTCATTTGTATTTTTAATATTATGCGTAAAAGAAAATTTTCTTCTCCGAATTCCTCTGAATTGGTTGTGCAATACTCGTTTGTGTAAATAGTCAAAGCCAATTTTTAATAGACACTTTTGAGTATGATGTGTTTATGTGTGTGTGTGTGTGTGTAAGTATTGTCTGTGATACTAGACAGGATAAATAATAATTAACTCCCCATTTTTTTTTTTTTTAATTTAAACATCAGTGCCTAGAGAAATGAAGTTTTTTTAATTGTTTGTGACATGCTTTGAAGATCATTTTAATATAGTATACACTTATTTCAAAATCATAGCTTTAGCTTTTAATATGAATGAAATTTGTATTATAAATTTTTAATTTTAGTAGATCAGAAAAATGATTTATAAGAATAAAATAGAATGGATTTTATATTTATTTTTCTGCTTCTTATGAAATAACCCTTTGTGTAAATAAATATATTTATGTAATGTTATGTAATATTAAATAGTACTAGCAGAACTTCAAGGTACTTGTCAAATTGTATCCTAGATAAAATGAAACATGTCAATAATAAATAAAAAAATGTATATGAATAAGGAAATGCAATAAATCTATACTAAAAGGCAATCATTTTTGCCATATTATCATTTTCACGTAAAATGTATTCGTGTTTCAAATTATGTACAAATGTAAATATATATTGTAATAAATTTAATTTAACCATGTTTTTATGGACTATATAGTTACATTAATTAAATTATTCTTTACTAAATAATATATATAAAAAAAAAACTATACGAAGTGCCTTGTTAAAACATGGGCATATTATTGATGGCCTCTAATCGAAGGACCATTATGGACGTAAAACGCACACTTGTTACAATATGTTATATTTATATGTAGAATAAATGATATTAAACTAATAGATGCCCCTATTTTAAGTGCCTTTTATTTTAAAAAGGAAAAACAAAAAAGGTAAAAAAAAAAACAAAAAAAAAAAAACATGAGTATCATTGCTTTTATGAAATAAGTTTGAGATTATATAATTTTGGAATTGTGTGCCAGTATTTTTTGTTTTCTTTCTTTTTTCTACACATTACAAATCATAATTTTATTAATATTATGAAATAACATGTATTTATAATTATATTATTTTGAGAGGGTGGTGTATGAATAAAAATAAACAAGTGAATGTTAACTTTACCTGTTTTTATTTGACTCTCCTTGGTTATTTTGTCTCTGTTTTTATATTTTCCTACTATTTTTATTTTGTTTGAATAATTGTTTTTTAAAATTTGAATTAGAATAAGAAGGGGGAGGGATTATACTAGTTTCCTGCATATTTTTGCCAGATTAATTCTGTATGGGTTGCATAAAATCAATGCCGACTAAAACTCACACTACTATTTTTTTGTTCAAGATACTTAGAATCCAAAAACTAAATAATTACCTGTTCACTGTTCCCAGATTTTCTCTGAAACCATTGGGCCATTTCATTGCTTTTTCAGTTTTGGTACCAATGTCGCAAATCACCCTAGGATGATTTTCGGAACTCAACATAGCCATATGCCGTTTGTTTCAGTTTGATAGCTGATTAGAGGTTTAATGTGCAAGTGTCCAAGGCTTTTGTTTCTGTTTTGTTTAGAGTTGGCTTGAACATTGCAGAACATTTTCTTTCAAATTCATTAAATGTCAATAACTCAACCTTAGGTGATTGCCTTCTTCAGTATGAACCTGATAATAGTTTTTAAAACAACTTATACTAATTTCATTCAAAAAAATTTCTCACTTATCCATAGTGCAGTATGAACTGGAGAGATAGATGATGAAATGATATGAGTGATTCGTTTAATTTATTTTATAATTATCATTTAATCATTTATTTCATTATGCATTTTAGGCTATTTATTGCCTAGTTATTTTCAGATTATAAATTAATTTCTTTGTTAAATTACAATCAATTTTGTTATAAATAATAATGTTCTTTGGAATAATCTACGTGCTATTTTATATGCTTCCAAAAATTGATGATCTCATCCATTTTCTTAAATTTCTTCATTATCAATCCATTGTTGGATATTTCCAAATATTGGCCCTTGTGTCCAAATGAATGCCACTCAGGATGAAATCCTTTTTGATTTGGTGTCCTATAAAAAACGTAACAAATTGTGTTTTAAACTTGAAATTTAGATTTTTAATAAAATTGTATTAGGTATTAATTAATGCAAGTCTAATGTCTTTTTTGCTCAATGCTGGCTTAATGAAATTTTCTTTGTAGTTTATTAATATTATTTTTATTAATATTAATTTACAGCAAAATTTTTATTATTTAGCAATTTTTACTTTCACTTACATATATATGAAATATTCAGGGTTAAGTGGCCAAACTGAAAATATGAATTAACGGCCTCAAAACAAGAAAAAAATTTCCTCTTAAGGTATATCCGCAAACACTGTTTAGGAGATATTCACACCTAAAGATTTTCGTTGTTATGAATTATTTATGTTATATTAAGTAAATAAAACTTATTTATTTGTTCTAACCAAAATTCATATTAAATGGTTTTAAAAGTGATTTCCTTGAGCATTAAGACAGGCACTGCATCTTCAACAGCAGCAGTGGCTGAATGGCACTGATACGTGTTATTGTTTCACAAGACTCAATTATCCTTCATAAGGAATTAAGGTCATTTTGTTTAATGTCATCCCAAACATTACGATTGCAAACACCGTATACAAACACCATATTGGCATATTCACCATTAGTATAAATGGAAGGCATAATGATGAGTACTCTGCAAAAGCCTCTTACAAACTGATAAATGTTATTGAGAGTTCCCAATACTAATTCAAAATAAAAAATAGTAAAAATAAATAATTATATTTATTTTTATATTTCATATTTACACATAAAAGGCCATATTAGTATTCTATCTAATCCATCTCCTAAACAAAGTATTTGCGGACATATCTTCACTTTGAACAACAGCTAATATGAATGTTAATGTTTACATTTAATTAATAAAGTAGTTCTCTTTGTCGACTCGCAAGCAGCAATCCACACCATTACTGACATGAATAAATGCATGTCGAGTGCTATCTTGGAGTGCAAATCCCTTCTCTACGATCTAACACTCCGAGGCACCAATGTGGTCCTTCAGTGGATTTCGAGCCATTGCGGTATTCCAGGAAATGAGGAAGCGGACAGTCTCGCCAGGAGGGGAGCAGAATTGCCACAAACAGTCCATCCAAAATCCTACGATTCAATTCGGCGAATGGTGAGGATGGTAGTGAAGGAGGAAACAAAAAATATGCACAAAGACAAGGTGGAAGGGAGATGTTATGGATGTTTGATGGAAAACTCGATCCCAGCAGATCTACCAAGAGATGCAGTAGCCTGCTTCCGCCTGGCCACTGGTCACGACTATCTACAAAGTCATCTCCACAAGATAGGCGTGGCTGAGGATCCTAGATGTAAATTATGTGAACAAGCGGAAATGGATGCAGACCACCTAAACGAATGTCCTGCTTTGACGGATATAAAGAATCAAACATATGTAAATGATTACATACAAAAATCAAACTTATATTGGGCAGCAAGATGTCGGATGGTCGAATGACCAATGACTATGGCATAGGAAAAAAAAAAAAAAAAAAAAAAAAGTTAGAACAAATAAATAGGTTTTGTTTATTTGTAAATAATTCATAACTACAAAAATCTTTAGGTGTGAATATCTTCTAAACAAAGCATTTCGGGACATACCTTCAGAGGAAATTTTTTTCTTGTTTTGAGGTCCTTAGTTCATTTTTGCAGTTTATCCACTTAACCCTCAAGCACCCTGTATAGTAAGAAAAAGTATTGTGATCCGAAAAATTTTCGAATTTGAGTTTTCAACGGAAATATAAGTTTTGAGGTTTTTTGGGTCCAGATAACCAAGATTTTCTCAAAAATGGCTTGAAAAACGATTTTAGATTTTGAAAGCGGAGAATTTTAGAAAAAAGTATAAATGATAATTTCTGAAGACTAATATTATTTAACAGAAATCACATGTTGCCTAGGAAATGAAATGAAATTTTTTAACAACGTAAACTTTTAAAATTATTTTCAAGTTTGAAAAAAAATACTATAAAATCAACCGAATTAAGACAATGACTTTGTTTAAAACACAATTTCATTGTACTTGTGTGAAAGTAGATGTGAAATATAAAAATATTTCATGGATGGGTAAAATGTATGTTTATAATCTTAAATACATTAACTGTATTTTAATAACTCTAGATCCGACATTATATTTAAATAATTAGGTTTACATTGTCGATTTATTCCAACCAAAATTTCCTTTGTGAAATCACATTATACACTTACAATCGGTGTGATGACTTTTGACCTATCCATGCTGTATTTGAAAGCAATTAACTGGGTAAAAAATAAGGATTTAAATATTGAAGGAAGCTAGTCGACTGTTCTACATATCATATGATTTGTTCAATATTCATATGATATTCAATATCAAATGATATCTTCAATATTTAAATCCTTATTTTTTACTCAGGGAAAATTTACCAAAAACAGTTAATTGCTTTTAAATACAGCATGGATTGGTCAAAAGTCATCACACCGATTGTAACTGTATAATGTGATTTCACAAAGGAAATTTTTGTTGGAATAAATCGACGATGTAAACCTAATTATTTAAATATAATGTCGTATCTAGAGTTATTAAAATACAGTTAATGTATTTAAGATTAGAAGCTAGTCGACTGTTCTACATATCATGGATGATAAATATTTAGGACGCAGTCATTACAATTTTTTTATTGGTGCTGACGTTTCAACATAAACATGTGGGTCATCATCAGGGCTGAAAATTTTTAAATTAAAATCAGAGATATAATATTATACGACCACCAATAATGGTAAATAATAAACTATAGTGATTGATGGTACGTGAATCTTAACTATTATTACAATACACAATATTAAAAATGAAATATGTAAACAGTTATACAAATTAAAAATAATGTATATAATCCATTCATAAAAATTTGTAATATTTTCTCTTAATAACCGTGGTTCGAGCACTGAAGGCTTTCAAGTACTGACACATTTGGTAGGTAAGTGAAAGGGTTCAGGGGAGGATTTCCTAGTTGTCCTTTTTCAGATAGCAAAAGGTAGATAAACATAGTCAGAGGGAAGGAGGGAGGTAATATTTCTGTTTGTAGAATGTAAATAATTTGCTGACTAAATATTCAAGATGTGTACAAGCTTTGCGTTGTTTCTTATGGTTACAGAATTGTGACTATTGGCTAGTAATAAAATTAACATAAGCAAGAGGTGCCAATCAATATAAATATTGACCAATAAATAAATTAAGAAACTTACTGATTTTTTGCAAAATTAACCAATATTTTTATTAATTTTTTTGATAGGTCTATGTCAAATCGCTTAAGCATATCTTTGATTTGAAAAAATTGAGCCTTGATTTGAAAGCTTATAAGAAAGTGGATTTGTTAAATATAAAAAAAAAAAATCATTACATCCATAAAGAAATTGATGAGCTATTGCTGAAATGTTTTCAAATTCAAAGAAGTCAGAATAATCATCTCTCTGGTCCACTCCTCCTGATCATATTTAGTTTGGAATTGACTAAATCAAAACTTGTATTCAGTGTAAAAAAATATCTTTTATATAAAAAACAAAAAAAAAAACTATTTCTAATTATATTTCATGGTTTCTCAAAAACTTCAGCATAAAGATGATACATTGAAGTTTACAGAATTTAATTTAGTATTACAATTGAGTTAATGATTTTATCTTGTAGAATAATAAATTGTATACCTGTTATATTCACTTTTTTTTTAGCTCGGAATTCCGTCATTGAAGGACCACTTGTATAATTAAAGACATAAAAGTATTTGGGTCCTTTATGTTCTTGAGCTGAATTTAATGGTGGATAAGTAGAATAACCTTCTGAATACAGCTATGACAATAAAATTAAATAGAATATTATTTACAAAAGAAACAACTATTAAAACAAATATTATATAATCAATCTTGGGAGACTCCCAGCTTAATTACCTTCCATATTCCTGTAATTACATCCTTTTTAAAAAATCTTTCAATTATTTTCTTTACTTCATCTTTATTTTCAAGATTCATCATTCTTTGAATATACTCTTCTCGATGTTGAGTAAAATCATTTAAAATTGCATCATTCCAATTAAGAATAAGATCTATGAAAAAGTGCATTTGCATAATTTGAATAATAATTTCTATTTTGATAAATTATTTCACTTATCTTTTTATTTTAATGGAAATTGAATTACTTACCAGCTGCTTTGCCAGCTCCTTCATCTCCACAAATTCCCAACAACCATGGAAAGTGTGCATCATTAATAGGCCAGTTGGTCAATAGCGAAGTATTGCTTGGAGGTTCCAACACAGGCCCAAATACCACCAAAGGTTCTCCCACCCAAAACTGAAAAAATATATTTTATTAGCATTAAGATAAAAGTCACTTATAGAAAGAAAGAAGTTGAATAACAATAATAATAGACTAGGATCTTTCTGATGAAATAGCAGATTTTAAACAGTAAAACGCCCTATTAACTGTATATTGTTTTGAGAAAAAAATAAAGACAATAGCAGAGAAAAGAAAGCTCATTAACTTTTACGTACATTCTAATCATGAAAAAAAAAAGATAATTTTCACATTTAAAAATTCTATAAATGTTTTTGAAAACAAAATATGATACATAATTTTTCAAAACATTTTCCTTCCTTATTCATTTGAAAATTGTTCAAACTTTGTCTTTTTCTTTTTTTACAAAATGCATAATACAATTTTTATTAATATTTATTATGTACATCCTTTCTGAAGTTCTAAGGGTCTGAAACAGGGCTATGGTATGGCACTGACCATCTTCAAGGTTTATCTAAACGAGTCAGTCAAGGAATGGTATCGTCAGTGTGGAGATGTGGGACGCTCGACCATCAATTGGCGACGAACAGCTGGTGTCTCTCTTTCGCCAATGATCAAGTCATATTTGTACACAGAAAGGTGTCTCTGGAAAGGATTGTCCTCACTGTGGACTTGCTATGTGTTTGTGAGGCTTAAGGTGAATTTCACAAAGACGGAATTCATGGTCATTTACACTGAGGATGTCAGTAATCTTTGTGTCGACTCTCAGATATATACAAAAATTTTTTTAAGCATCTGTGATCTTACCTTGACTCCTCGGGATCCTTAGAAATTGAAGGAATAAGCTCGGAAAGCTACACGCATTATTCATAGCCATGCTTCATCCTGTTTTGTGGGGCAATAAAATTCTAAAAGAAAACAAGCGAAGGATATACTATGCCATCATAAAACTCATCCTAATGTATGCATGCTAGTAAGCAGGTCGATTTCCATTCCATGAGTTCGTCACAAAATAAAAATTAACTCTTCCCAGGCCAGATTCGAACAGGCGTTGCTAGGCATGAGGGTGCTATGACGGGCTACACTCCAACACTCTCTGCCATCGTGACCTCGTAGGGGTTCAGTAAAACATGTCCACTTGGAACACACATGGGCTCAAGGATCTCCTGACTGAGCAATACCCACAATTGGTAAATCATGATATCGTGAATATGAATATCAAGATTGAAATAAAATATCAATGTAATAAAAATAAATATTTTAATTTAACTTACTCTGAGACGCTTTTCAGCTGCTGTGATTTTTTGAGCCGACTTGGATTGAAGGCATGGCACAAGATCTTCAGTTTGACAGCCGACAGCTTTAGCAATAACTTCAGCTGCTTTCTTAGCTTTGCCTGGCTTTCTTAAAGAAAAGTGAGAACCACCTGCACCACTTTGTGAAATACAACCTTTCAACATGCCTATAATAAAAAACAACTTTAGATATCTCATGATGAATGAATGAATGAATGAAATGGATGAAAATACGTGTTAAATGTAAAAGAAGAAAAATAAAGTATGAAGAATGAGATATATTTGAATCACTAATATAATTAACACCGAGGTAATGCCTTAGGGCATCAATTGGTGGAGGGTGTCACAGGAATTGAATTGAATAATAAAATAAAAATTCAAATAATTTATAGTATTGAAAATTATAAAAAATAAACTCGATATTCTAAACAGGAATAGATGTTGAAGGTAAATAAGATTTGACTATGAAGGATGAAGGAGGTTGACCGAATGTTACATGGTCCATATTATTGAGTCAGTATTGAATTTTTTACTCAGCATAGGACTGTAATGTATAAATTATATCAACATCAATCAAACTGGTTGATATAAATTTATTCTATCGAAGTTCTTTCAATGTTATTGAAGGATTGTCAATTTGATTGCATGTGTACGGGCTATTTTGAGCAACATTAAATCATTTATAAGGATCTACGCCTTTTTATTTATTTTATGATACCCTACTTCCTCATTTCTGATATATGGAGAGAACTGTTCCAGAGATACGACCTAACCTATTCTAACCAGGGTGGTATGATCAAGATTCATTCTGTGGATTCAACAGGAAATAAATTTCAACCTGTCTAGACCCAATTCAAACTAGCACCGCTATACTCAAGAATATTAAAGCAGGCAATGCTCTAATACATTTGACCGTCAGGGCCTGGATCTACAATTTGAGGTGCCCAGGGCAATACAATATCTTGGTGCACCTCTTGGCTAGATCGAGGGGACTGTGAGAGTTTGTATTTCCCTCAACTCCTCCCACTTCAGTATTTTAATTTGTTTTAGTCAAATGGCCAACTTTCGTACCATATAATAGTTTTTAAAATTTTTTAAGTAAATTTTTTTTTTAAGTTAGTTTTAAACAATATTTAATAATACAATTTTTTTTTATTGTAAAACTATTTCTTAAATATTAAACAATTATGAAACAAGAAAAGCATCAATTTGATACAAGAAACATTTTAATGTCTAGGAACAAAATAAACTTTACAGCTCGTACAAATATTGTGATTACATTATAGAATTAATAAAATATAAAATACATTATAGAATTAATAAAATATAAAATACATTATAGAAACATTTCATCTCTATACAAGGTCATAACAATGGAAGTGGATATAAACAATTGATCAATAATCAATTGATAGTTACATGGAAATTACTATTTACGGCTAATAATATTCAAATTCAATTAATTATAATAAAATAGGAAGATATTTTTATTACACAATCTTATCTTTTTACAACCATAACCAAGATAATTAGAGTAATATGAAATTCATTCTTTTTCATTTTCAAGAAAATGAAAGAAACCATCTTTGTAGAAATAAATTACAATAAATGAGCAAGTTCGTAACTAAGATATTATTGACATATCTAAGCACTAGCGGATCCAGGATTTAATTTTGGGGGGGGGCTTCAGCCCGGAAGCTTTTTTTTTCATATATATAACGATAATTACTTTATAAAAACAGAAAGATACTAACTACCTATATGAAATGGTGTTTAAGTGATTCTTTAAGTCCTATTAAATGTAATTAAACGAGCAATAATACTTTAAGACATATTTTTTTTACATTTTTTACCATAAAACATGATTACATTTTATCATTTTGGGGGGGGGCTTCAACCCGAAAGCCCCCCCCCATAAATCCGCCTGTGTATCTAAGGGAACCCTTTAATATATTTTCTTCAATTATATTGTTTCAATAATATTGACTGTGTAAATGTCTATTTAGGTGTACAAAGAATGATGCCCAATACATACCCTGCATATGTGACTATCGAGCAGGTTTCTTTAAGAATATGTTAAATTTTCACCCAGAAATACAAATTTGGCTTTGCCGTAAGGATACTACAGTGGGTTTTTGAGGAAGTGCATGATCTAATGACTATCACGTGGTCTAGAATGCTACAAAAGAAATAGCTATCTCTAGAAAACTTATAGAACTAACTAGATTTAAAATATGCCAAATCCAGAAGAACCTAATAATTAGTGGTTTATTTGGTGTGAACAGAAGGAATCCTTCAGAAAGATAGAGCAAGAAGATAAAATGACAGGTTTTAGAATGCAAATAGGTAAAGATGATCTGCATAATGAAAAATGTGCTCCTGCAAATAGTTAAATTGAGAATTTATGCTTCTGAGGTTGTTCCAAGTTCCCAGTAAGTGAGATCTGCACCTAAATAAAACATGGAAGAGGAAGTTGAAATAAGATCAAGATTAGCAGGAGTCAACAAAGCAATTGTTCCCTTTTTCAACTCATTAACAGTACATTACTAAGTCATGCCACAAAAACAAGGAAGTACTAATGTCTTTTAAGGCCAATAATAATAACCTATGGCCAACTAGGTGCTAACTAGTCTGTGATACAAATTTATATAAAATAAAGATCCTGAGACATATTTGTGGTCCAATTAAGAAAAATTAAACTTGGGGTCTGTGCTGAAAAACGGAGTTATATATGCCTAATAAACTGAAGTTACTAGTCCCCTGTCCTGGAATAAATCCTGTATAGCCTAAAGGCGAGATAGGGGGGAAAAGAATTATAGAACAATAGATATAAGCATGATCTATAAAAAAATTATACCTCTGGTTTTCGGAACAGAACACAAATAATGGACTGAAGCAGCTCCGGTACTGAATCCAAAAGCAGTAATAAGACTAGGGTCACCACCAAAATTTTTTATTTCATCTTTTGTCCATTTCAAAGCTAAGGCCATGTCTTTTAGCCCCATATTTCCTGGTAATATGCTATCTTCTGTACTAAGAAAACCTGTAAAAGAATTCCTCTTAATAATACAGAACATTACATTTTGACGTTTTTCATTGATTGAATAATCAGTGACCAAGGAGAAAGATTGGGAGAGCGATAAAAAAAGTTAAAGATTTTTTCAACTAACAATAATCACAGACATTTATTTTTTATGATATTGCCTCTGCACAAAGTAAAGAAGGTAGAACAATAAAAATTGAAAGCCGGCATTTCGGCCTATATTGCAGATCTTCATAAAAACTACAAAGAGAAAGATAGAAAAAAGATAAAAGAAACTATTATAGGTGTATAAAAACTGAAAAATATATGGTGAGTCACTAAAATAAATAATAATAAAGTTAAAAATAAAAACAATAATAACTGATGAAAAAATTATGCTGAAAAATTAATGAATGATTAATTAAGATATAATAAAGAAGGAAATCGAATGTCTATGGATCCTCCTAATAGATTCATCGTTGTTCCAAGAACATACCCATATTTTAAAATTATTTTTCCCTTCTAATATTTTACCTATTATAATAATAAAGTCTGCAATGAAACAAAGCGTTATATTGGTGGCAGTGATATGGGTAAACCCCACCTGAAATGCCACTGCTGCTGAAAAACCTATATGCCATAAATGGCCAGGTAGGATGAAAAAATAAAATTGTATAGTGAAAATACTTTATTTATTAATTTTGCATTTTCTAAAAGTTACAATTATTATTAATTACTGAAGAGATGAATAGTTGGGGTGGTCAGTCAAAAAAGAAGTCAAAAATAAATGATAATATTTATTTTTACATATGCCGACGTTTCGACCTGAAGTTCAGGCCTTCATCAGGGCTAAGAAAATAACCAGATAACAAGGTATGAGAAACATAAGTAGTGATGGTAAAAAAATAAAAAAGAAAAGAAAATAAATAAAAAAATATAATAAAAAAAAATAAATATAAAGTAAAATGAAATTGTTAGAATAATGACAATAGTAAGAACTAAGAGATAAATAATAATAACCGTTACAAAGTGTGGAATGATGAAGTAGGCATAATCAAAAAGGGTGCCTATAACATAATATTATGTCACCCTTTTTGATTATGCCTACTTCATCATTCCACACTTTGTAATGGTTATTATTATTTATCTCTTAGTTCTTACTATTGTCATTATTCTAACAATTTCATTTTACTTTATATTTATTTTTTTTTATTATATTTTTTTAATTTTATTTTTTCTTTTTTTTTACCATCACTACTTATGTTTCTCATACCTTGTTATCTGGTTATTTTCTTAGCCCTGATGAAGGCCTGAACTTCAGGTCGAAACGTCGGCATATGTAAAAATAAATATTATCATTTATTTTTGCCTTCTTTTTTGACTGACCACCCCAATTATTCTTCTCTTCATTATCCACGACAGTCAACCATTTACCAATTATTACTAATTGACCCGTGCTAATAATTTATGCACTATATCTGCTAATGATCAAATGTTAATATTCTATGAAAATAAATGCAATATATGAGTCGTTCAGTTGAAAGAATCCAACTTAATTTTTAATTTCAATTTCAAGATTTTTAAGTTGTCAGTTTAGTGATATTTCTAGTTGGAAAATTTATAATATCTGTACATGATGAGTAAGTTGATTCCAGAGTGTTGATTGCAGTGTTGAAATATAGAACTGTGAATAAAGATATACATTTTTCACTAAAAATATAACTAAAATTAATAATTAAAAATATTGAAATTGGAGTTAGTCATTCTGTCAACTGAAAGACTCATTTTATGAGAGGGGAGATTAATTTTTTTTCTCAGTCATTTAAAATGGTTCATTTTTAAAAATAATAAATCAAAACATATGAAATAATTTCAATTGGCTGTATCTTTGATAATAATGTTCAGTTTTCAGTAATTTCAAATTTAGAAACCTTTAAAATCATTTTGATTATCAATAACTGACCAAATGATCAAAAACTGAGCACGATTTGCCAACCCTTTGTGAAATTCTCAACCCAATAATACCTCATTTATGGCATTTGAGCATGATAGGATACCTTATATCTAGCAAAAAACCGATTGCTCTTTGGTGAAATAATATTTGAGAGATAAAAAAAAACGTCATCAGTCATTTCTCTAGCAATAGTGAGTATTTTCATCAGATATATTAATTATATAAATTAATTTATAAAAAACATACCTAAAGGTCCCAGACGATAGTTTACCATGACAAAAACCACATCCTCATCCATGAAATACCTTAGGGTATGAGCAGGCCCCGAGGAACCAAAAGACCAACCTCCACCATGTACATAAAAGATTACTGGCAATGAAGCATTTACCTTCAATGATCACACATTTAAATTAAATAAATTTGTCAAATCAATTTGAAGATAAATCACAGAAGAACAACTAAACAGGTTATATGTAATTTATAAAAATATTATTATGTATGAAATAGTTGAATATAGTAATCATAAAGAATGTAAGGTAGGTGGTAAACAGGATATAGTTTATTTATTCGTAAATAAAGTTACTTTTTCTTCATAGTTTTATTTCCTTAAATTTCGGGGATGTGACTGTTTTTTCCACCGAAGGAGATGAAGATCTTTAAAATGAGAGCTCAATCATTAGATTTGATCAAAACTTGAGAAAGTTAATGCGTTGCGACAAAAAAACACCTTTTAGAAATAATATATGAAGATGGTTGGATGACATATAAAAATAAACATTTTTATATAAAAATACTGTTGTTAAGGTAAATATAGGTATTACTACAAATTAATATTAATATTATTTTAAGAAAAATTTTAAAAAGGTAGCCTTGTTAATAGTTTAACCTTGAAATTTAGTTAAATGTAACTGAAAAGATTTCATGATAAGTATAAGGTGCGTAGCATTTTTGTTTTTGTTTTATATAATTTAACTTTCATTGATTTTCAAATAATAGAATATATAGCAAATAAAGAAACAAATTTTTTTCAGTCTGACTTTTAAATGTTTTAGTGCAATTATTTTGAACTAGAATTAATCATTATATTTAAGAAAAAAATATATCATTCAGATAGTTATCATCATTTTGAATAAAACTCAAAGACTGATTTCTATTTGTATGCATACATTTGAATAATAAGTTATGATTATTTCACTATTTGTTGGAATAAATAATTATATATTTGAAACCATCCAGGCCACTTGCCTACAGTCACTCTCAAAAATATGAAGTTGAATTTGGAAGAATTATGCTCTGAAGAGTTCTTCTCGTATGGAAGAAAATATTTAAGATAATTTATAGCAGTATTTTAATTAATTATAGTAATTAATAAAAACAAAAAGTGTCTATTTCTCTTCATTTATTATTTATATTCAATAAAACTATACTTCATGTCTAAATACCTTTGGTGTGTAGACATTAAGATACAAGCAGTCTTCTTGTCCTGTAAAATTATTGTTACCAGAATTTTGTAAGCAGGGAGGGCTAGGTTTGCTGGCATCAAGTACACCAGACCAAGAATTGGCATGTTGAGGTTCCTAAAAGTGAAAATAAATTAATGATGTAGAGAGGTAATTAAAAATAATATTTTTTAAAATTTAGTATTTATGTGACCGCACCCCTTCCCCCCGATCAACTCCTCATGAAAATAAATTATTTTAGTATTAAAATAAAATTATAAAATAAATTGGTTTATTTTTTAAGTTTTTAGAAAAAGAACATAGTATTTAGCTTTAATATCACTAAACCCAACAATTCAAATATGAGAGAACAGCTAAAAATAGAATATTTACATTAGAAAAAATAAACTAATTTCCTGTGATTCACATCATGTCAGTTTTTCTGAAATATCTACTTTAACATCTATAGATATAGCAAGGCTCTATTTCAGGTATTAATTTTATATTAATTAACAAATAATTCAGTTTCACAGAAAGCTACTTTGAAATGTATGAGTTGGTCAATTATAAATAAACTCTTATTAAAAATATTTATTTTATTAGAAGTTAAAATGTAAATAATGAAAACATTCAATTCTTGTGAAATAAAAAATTGTTGATTCATTTTATATATTTATCCCAAAAAATTTTACAATTATTACCTTTTCTACACTATTTGGTTATATATTTTAAAGTATACTTATTATCATACTTTTTATTACATATAGTAGTTAGGTATTATGGTGTCTTACACAGGCGGACCTTCAGGAGAAGGGGACTTTTAGGCTGAACCCCCCCAAAATGATAAAATGTAACCATGTTTTATGGAAAAAAAATCTCTATTAAAGTATTGTTGTTTGTTTAATTACATTTAATTGGACTTCAAGAATCACTTAAACACCATTTCATGTAAGTAGCATCTTTCTTTTTTCCAAAATAATTATCGTTATATTCATGAAAAAAAAGAAACTTTCGGGCTGAAGCTTCCCCCCCCAAAAAAAAAAATTAAATCCAGGATCCACTAGTGGTGTCTTTTAAGGCATATTTAAATGTTTTTTGTTGAATATTAATCCAGAACTTTTCTTGTCAGTATTATATTTTTGTGTGAATAACATAACACAAGACAAAATTGTTTAATGGTATTAAGTTTTAAAAATTGAAATGATTATTTTATTAATTTCTGCTTTTGAACTTATAAGTAAAAGTAAACTTTTCATTAATTTATTTTTTTTTTAAACTAGAATACTTTTTATATTTCTTAGTTTTTAATAATCAAAAATATACTTTACCCTAAATCGTAGATTTCCTAACGGTGGCTTTGCATAAGGTACCCCTGTGAAAGCATAGAATTCTCTACCATCCCTAGAAGTAAGTGATGCACCTTTCAGAATTCCTTTGGAGGTAAGTACTTGCAATTCTGCCCCCAACACATTTGTTATAGCCGATACCAACCAAAGCAATAACATCTCTAAAATATCTAATAGAATCTGCTTCTATATATGTAGGTTCTTATCTACCTGATATAAAATGATGAGGAAAAATGAAACGGGAATCGATAATATGAACGGGTTTATATTGTTTTTGTTATCTTGTATTACGCAATTATAGCTGAATAAAAAAAAAAAGAGTGATTTTTAATTTTATATTAAAATTCAATTTCTGACTAACGAGTTGTTGGGTTGGGCAATAGTCGATATAATTTGTTACTATCGATAGTTCGATACTATCTTTAGTATCTATAGTTCAGTAAGTTACCGCAACAAACTTAAAGAGGATGAATTATCTAGGTACAGTGCCGACTACAGTGGCTTAATAATACAGTGCGGTCATATGGATTCGATTTCTGATTGGTTGGCCATCTTGGATCGTCCCTTGCTATCTGCTTGCTCTTTAGGCACCTCAAAACTGTTAAAATTTTATATTTTATTAGCAGTATTTTAGTTCAGAAGCTTAATTTTGTTGTTTAAGTGATAGGTTTAGTTTATTAATAGGTAGTTTTTATTGAATAGTTGTACGATTTAGTGTTTTCAGTGATTGTTTTGGTTTCTTGTTCAGTGATAGGTTTCATCTTCACAGACTCATATTTTATTAATGATATTTTGTTTGAAAGTTTAATTGTGTTGTTTTAGTAATAGATTTAGTTTATTAATATGTATTTTTTATTTAATATCTATATATATTAGTGTTTAAAGTTAAAGTGACAAGTTTGGTTTCTTCTTCGTAGACTTAAAATTGTGAGTATACTTTAATTTTTTACTTTATTTTATTAATTTTCCTTTTTAATTCAGTGGTAATGAAAGAAAAAGATGGAAATCAAGTTTGAAACTTAGTTATATGAAGACAGTGTCTATAGTTCGAGGCTATTAGCTAACACAATTTTTATCTTGAAGTTATTAGTTTCCAGTATAAAATTGAAATTTTGTTTTCCTTTATAGTTATTGTTACTTTCATCATTAAAATATGAGTATCATTTAAGGTCAAGATTATCATTTAAGGATCATCAACTATACTCAATTAAACTATGATTTAAGGATCATCAACTACACTCATATTTTTAATATTGAAAGTAACAATAACTATAAATGAAAACCAAATTTCAATTTTATACTTGAAACCACTGACTTCAAAATACAAATTGTATCAGCTAGTAGCCCCTAACTATAAAAATATCTTTTATAATCAAGTTTCAAACTTAATTTCAATCTTTTTCTCTCATAACCACTGAATTACAAAGGAAAATTAATAAAATAAAGTAACAAATTAAAGGATTAAGTCAATTTCGAAACCTATATGAGCCAAATCAACTCAGAGGTGATTTAAGAGGATTTTTCATAGAGAAAAATGAGTTCTGTTGATGAAGAACACATATTTAATTGTAACAATATTAAATATAGTATTCTCAGGAGGTTTATTGTATTTAGACTTAGGATAAATCCAATAAGTAAAAAGAATTTCCCTCATATGTCTGTTTTTAGCAGTAAATATGTAAATGTATATGTGCAGCATTTATTAATTTAAATTTCTTTGTAAATAAATATTCTGTTTCATCTTTTTTTTTTTTATATTCCTTTGTTGATTAAAAATGTTTTCTTTTTCAAGTTAAATTGGATAGTTCTTCAATCAATTGATAATTTATTGTATTTTATCCTTACAGTTTTATGTTTCACTATTAGTTATTTTTACTTGGTATATCCTGTGTGATAAAATTGAAAATATATTATAGCCAACAATCTCTAATTTCCCAAAAAACTAATGAAAAATAAATAAAATAAGAGATGCAATATAAAATATCTACATTATGGTAAGAGGTAAACCATTTCATAAAAAAATATTTTATATCAATGATCAGAAATGAATCTATACATTGAGGATCAAATTTTTAACTATTTAAAATTTTAATTATAGTGGATTTATAATAGTTACCAAAATCAGTCTGGGTGATATGCTTTGCAAAATCAAGACTAAGGCCTGCCTAACTTGTTAGACCAAGACCAAGATTGATAAAAAAATCCTTTTTATGAATAAAAATTAAGTTAAAATAGTCAACCTTGAAATAGTTGTAATAGTAAAACTTGAAAAATTTAGTTACCATATGTAAAGAATTGATGTAACCAATATCCTTTGGAATTTAACTCTCAATTTTTCATTTGGGCTTAGGTTTCCCATGTCTGACAAATTACAGTAATATATCTATAATAAGAAGCTGATAGGAAACTGGAAGACTGTTGCGAGAATTGCACAAGACCAAGACACCTCATGGTCTCGCATTTGGACAACACTAGTTGTGGTATTCAGTCATAAGCAATATAAATAAATTATATTTATTAAATTTACATTAAATAATTTATTTTTATTAAATTTACATTAAATAATTTATATTTATTAAATTTGCATTAAATAATTTATATTTACTAAATTTACATTAAATAATTTGTATTTATTAAATTTAGATTAAATAATTTACAATTATTTAAAGTTTTTTTTTCTAAAGGTGAATATTAAGAAGAAAAATTAAAATAGTTTCATGATTGCTGACTTAGAATTGAGTTTCTGGTTTTCCAATGAAAGTTAATTTTCACTCAGTTTTTGTTTAATGTTTTAATAATTAATTAATTTGTTTGTGAAATTTGCCAATGAGAGAGTAAGATGAACACAATGGAAATCTTAATATGCCGAAGTTTATTGGAATATATTTTAAAAGAAATTAAACAGAAAAAAAAACAAATATTGTTCTTTGATTTTATTATTTATTTTCGCGTGATATAAGTGATTCATATGCTTCATACAGATTGTTCAACTTCAATTCTATCTCCCAAACCATTCTAGTAAATAGTTTGTTGCAATAATTACTTTTTAAATTGAAATAACAAAGACAGACTATTCAAATATTAGTTTCCCGCCGATCCAATATGGCCGTCCCCTCCGTATGACCGCACTGTATTATTAAGCCACTGTAGTGCCGACCTTCGATATGCGCCGTAGGAGTGCCCGTTCCCCCCAAGGTCGATGGCGCCTGAACCTCCCCCATCCTTCTCTCAAGATATTTGATTGCTCTCATCTTCTTAAAAACAGTGCAAGCTAAAGTAGAATTTTACAAATAATAAGTCACATGCAATGACTCTTACAATGCTATGTTCTTTGCTTTCATGTTGATCCCTCGTTTAAGACTTTTAATTTCGAAAATTCATATCTTCGTCGAAACGTACATCCCTCAAAAATTAAAAATCCCATCAAAATGTGCCTCCTTCAAAACTTTTAATGGCCCAACTTGAGGGCATCCCTGCGCCCCCGTGTAATGGTGTCATCTCTCCAACCCCCTAAAACATTAAATTTATTTATTATGCTGCTTTATATTAAATAATATTTAAATTTTATTTAGTTCAAAATTTCTCTAATACAGTTGCTTTATTGGTAGGCTAAAATTAATTATTTTAATACATTTTTTATTTTTTTTTTTAAGTTTTAATAAGAGACAGGTGCTCCTTAAGATTCGCTTATATCAGGAAAACTATCCATCTCATCGACACAGACATTTTATACAAAATTAAAACTGATAAAATTTGCAATATGATTGATTATATACTTTTTTTTGTTTCCTCGCTTAGTTTCCAAGATATCCATCCTCAACTATAGCTAATTTGCAGAAAAAAAAATTACATAATGTTTTTTACTGTATTTGACTTTCTAACTCTTGATTGCTTCGTGGAATGCGAAGAATAAGCCACGAAGAAGAAAGTTTTTAATAATTAAATTTTCTTAAAGAATGTATATTATAGTATAGTAAGAGAAAGTATTGTGAAAATATGAATCTTCAATGGAAATGCACGCTTTAAGGTCCTCTGATTCTTAATAACTAAGGTTCACAATATGTGTATATACACCACTCTGTGTGTATATATTATCAGTCTAGCTCAAAAAAGGAAGAGTCGTACGAAACTGAAAATACATATTTAAGTCATGTATATACCGAAAGTCTTTAATATCAGCTAGGTCTTATCCCTGTTGATTTCACTTTACAGGGCTTAAATGCCCAGCGCTCATATGCGCCTTCCATTAAAGTACCTTTAATATGGTTTATTTTGAATAATTAACTATCTCCCAATGTTATTAGTAATAAAAAAAGGCTCAATAGCCTTTGAACGAATTTAATAATTGAGTAGAGGAGAAAAAAAAAAATGAAAAATGTTTATTTAGGTCGAAAATGAATCTCCGAAAATAATAGTTAGAAGGTATATGTATAATACTCGTATATCTCTGTTAAACTGAGAGCTTTAGAAAAAAAATTATCTAAAAAGAATGTCGTAGAAGACAATGGACAGTGACGAAAAAATATAAATAATAATGTTTGAAAACTAAAGTGGCACTTCCGGTTAGCCGATTTTAAGGAAAAAGTTGCTGTCACATCTAAGGCATATACCTATCTTAAATACGTAATATCAGTTTCTCACGACTTTTCGTTTTTTAGCTAGACTGCTAACATACACAGACACACAGACCATTTTTCGGAACTGGGTTGTTTGGACTCAGGAGACCTCAAAACGTGTATTTCCGTTGATAAGTCAGATTAAAAAAATTTCACAATCGCATTACTTACCATTATACAAAATACAAAATAAAGATTTTAGATTAAAAATTGTATCCATCATAGGTGGGAATTTGATTTTACCTAGGTGACAGCAGTTATCTTTTTATTTATTTTTCTCCTTTATTCAATTATCAAATTCTTTCAAAAGTTATATTTAGCATTTTTTCCTAACTCTTAATTATATGAAATAGTTAATTATTTAAAATAAATCAAATTAAAGATACTTTAGAGGAAGACGTATATGAATATTGGGTATTTAAGCCCTGTAAAGTGACATCAATGGGGATAAGAGCTAATTGATATTAAAGAACACTTAATCATACAATGATACACCGAGTTTTTTCAAAATGTATTTCACCGTTGACATAAAGTAGCACTGATAATACGTAATATCAGTTTCGTACGACTTTTCGTTTTTGAGCTAGACTGTTAATATATACATACACAGACACACAGACCATTTTTCGGAACTGGGTTGTTTGGACTCAGGAGACCTCAAAACGTGTATTTCCGTTGATAAGTCAGATTAAAAAAATTTCACAATCGCATTACTTACCATTACTATATATTACATATATAGGTAAGTGAAAGTAATAATACATTAGACAGCTGCGAAAAACGTGTGATAGTAAATTGTTTTGAATAATATTTTACCGTCTTTCATTTCTATTTTTACTGAAAAAAACTATTTCTGATTAAATAAAAATAATGGTAGTAGTGAAAGTTTTTTGTGCTGTATGCAACGAACTTTCTTCTTTTTTTTTAATCTATATTACGAAAAACTAAGGATAATATAACCTAATTGATGACTGCCGCAGGAAAAGATAAGGTATAGTACCTGCTCCCCTTTTAACAAGAGAAAAATTAGAAATAAAATAACAAAAAATTTTTGATTTTTTTATTAACAGATACAGATTGGTTGTTAGTGTTTGAATATTATTCATGATAGCAATTACAAATATATTGACTAATTCCTCCACCGTTAAATTAATTGCTCTCCTTCAAAGAGTTTCTTCTCCTTCAAGCTGACTACGCGATCAGAATATCTTTTCTTACGAGATTGAACTTGACGGGATTACTCTCAAGTATTTCTTACTGCAATTGACCCAGTAATAGTCATGGCTTTTTACAACTGTCGTCCTGAAACAAAAAATGTTGATTGTTAGAGGAATTATAAGGAATGCAACAATAATTAGCTATAATAACTTTCTTTAAATCTTTCTATTTATAGAAAAAAATTTAGTATATTTTATATTTTATTTTATTTTAGTATTAGGAGAGAAGAGGATTTCAGGAGCTCTCCTATTAGTTTTATGATTAGCACTAATTAATGTGCAGTTAATTACATATGTGTTGAGCTCCTGTAACCTCCTGGTACAATATATTTATTGAGGTCCTGTAATCTCTTACTTGCCTAATACAAAATAAAGATTTTAGATTAAAAATTGTATCCATCATAGGTGGGAATTTGATTTTACGTAGGTGACAGCAGTTATCTTTTTATTTATTTTTCTCCTTTATTCAATTATCAAATTCTTTCAAAAGTTATATTTAGCATTTTTTCCTAACTCTTAATTATATGAAATAGTTAATTATTTAAAATAAACCAAATTAAAGATACTTTAGAGGAAGACGTATATGAATATTGGGTATTTAAGCCCTGTAAAGTGACATCAATGGGGATAAGAGCTAATTGATATTAAAGAACACTTAATCATACAATGATACACCGAGTTTTATCAAAATTGTCAAAATGTATTTCACCGTTGACATAAAGTAGCACTGATAATACGTAATATCAGTTTCGTACGACTTTTCGTTTTTGAGCTAGACTGTTAATATATACACACACAGATACACAGACCATTTTGCGGGACTTGGTTATTTGGAATCAGGAGATCTCAAAACGTGTATTTCCGTTGATAACTCAGATTCAACAATTTTCACGATCGCAATACTTACCCTTACTACATATTACATATATAGGCAAGTGAAAGTAAAAAAGTTCAAGAATACATGAAAAATGTTTATATTATTTAGAGCTAATTTTGTTTCATTCACGGATTTCACTGAGAGTAAAATAACTAAAAATAACTTCTATGTTCTTTTATCGTATTATTACATTGGTTGACTCAATTTACAATAAATTTTGTTTTCACTGCTTAAAATATAATCGTGAAGTGCAAAATAATTATCAAACAGTTATTGTATATCTTTTACTGTAAGATAATCATGAAAATAAAACCATTTTTCTAAAAACAACTTTTTAAATTATATACAATTATTTCGTTAGGTTGAGACAAAAATTGTCAGAAATTTCCATCACAATTTTTGTTTCATTCTTTTTTTGATCAGTCGACTACTTACCCATCTCTATTATTTCATTAATTTTTATTGAACTTTAAAAAATAAATTGTATTCAATGTTGTTTAAACTTACGTGCATTCTAATAATGTATCTTGGCAAACTTCTGGTGCTATAATTTTTGCTGTCACACACGTCTTATCCTCAGGGTTTGAATGAGTGATGGCATTCTAGTGAAATTTACGTTGGTTAATAAATTAGTTTACTCAATAAAATTAAAATATAGCAATTATATATAAATATAAAAATATGACTATATTTTATATTATATAGTTAGATATGACTATATATTTAAAATATGTCTACCTTGCGAGTAATATGGATCCTATTATGTATTATGGAACATAGGCGAAGACTATGGGTAGTTGAAGGAGGCGATCGCCCCTCCACCCTCTCCTTCTCAATAAAATTGTAGAGAGGGCGAGATTATCGTTTCGTTTCTCTCTCCCCCCCCCAATAATTTGAAGTTAAATCAAAATTAAAATTGGTAACAAATACGATACACGAATGAATAAAACATGTAAATTAAAATTTACATAACTACTTAGACTGTAAAAACATTGTATTTTTTATTTTAAGAGTGTGCAAACTAAGAAATTAAAAATTATTTTTAAGTTTTTTAACATTATTCATTTTTAGCTGGAAAAGTTATAGAAACATAACTGTATATATTATGAAGGCTGTCTCCCATCCTTCCATGCATACAAATTGTAATGAATGCAATTATTTTATTCACATATTTTCACGTACATCGATATAAAAAAAATTTACAACTTCCAAACAAATATATAAATTTATTAATAAATACTCAATAATATATTTGCTCGTTTCACAATAATTATGTAGAATATTTACACATAATAAGAACTACTGCCTTTTTTTTTTTGGTCTTTCGCCCCTCAACACTCCCTAATAGAAATCGGAAGTCTGCGCCTACACTTACTGATGTCTTGGCATTACGTGTAATAAGCTAACACTATCTGCCTGAATTCAATCTGAATTGAAGGCAAGAGTTTTTCACTCCAGAAGAATTGGAAGACACATGGATAGAGATAGAGGCAGCTATTTAAGAAATTAAAATTGCTAAGCCCGAGAGCGTTGATAATTTAGCCTCTGAGCTTAGGCGAAGAATAATTTAGGTTTACAGATGAACAATTAAAGAGGGTTTTACAATTTTATTTATGACACTGTTAAAAGTATATTACTGGACGGAGTAGCCTAGCGGACTAAGGCGTAAGCAAAACAGGCGTTGCCGGGCAACCTGATTAGCAGAAGTTATCAGTTCTCACTGTTCAGTTTCCAGAGAGACATTTAACTGGCAGTGATTCCCTGCTTTCTTCCCTAAGTCCGGAAAAAAATTCCATATAGTGTAGAGGTGAGGAAGGGGAAGACCAAAAGAAATCTAAGATGTGTTAGAAGTGTAGACCATATGATAGAAGTGAAACACCAAAAAGGCGAGGTTAATAATCAGAAATATAAATAATATCTCATTATAAATAGGATTAAATGCTGAAAAATTCCCTTGCTTACGTATGCAGGTCCGACTTTATTTATTTATTTATATATTCCACCCGTCCATCATACCACTATGGCGATACGGGTGTTTGCAATAATGTGTGATTCGGCATGAATGCTTAATAACACACTACTACTAGCTAACTGAGGAAGGGTGTGCTCACAGCTTGTAGTTCTTCCGTTCTATTTTCTTTCTTCTTGTTTATCGGTTTCGGCCCAGCCTCCAGAACCAAGTCTTCCTGGCGCTTGTCCTCTTCTTCTGCGTGCACCAATACGGAAGTGATCGGGTCCCACCGCCGTCTTCCATCCATATATGAACTCCTTAAACCGCGGATAATTTTCCTCAATGACTAACCGAGGAAACTAATTTTCACTGAGGACATAGATGCTCTTGTCATAGTCGCTCTTAACGTTTCAAATGGGGCGCAGGTGTTCTCTACAGTTTCCAAAACACTACAAGTTGGGCATAGAGGATCTACATCAATGCCCAGATCATGAAGTTTAGCTCGAAATCCTCCATGCCCAGTGAGGAATTGTGAAATCCAATAGTCCAGGAGGATCCACTTTGATTAAAGCCTCGACTGTACCGTGGGAAAGTACTTCCTCAATGTACTTACTTTAGTGTTAACTACCCACCGCCGGTTGCAGACTTCAATCGTATCCTCCCGGACTATCTTCTTCCATTATTAGGCGCATCCATAATTCTCACCTATTTATTATTTATTTATTTACATCCCTGCCGTGCCTGATAGGCAATACGGGTTTTAGCAGCAGTGAGATGTTAAGCGTTTCCGCGTAACAACACACTGCTGCTAGAAAAACAATATTTATAGACTGGGTCCATATTTCAACTACATTTCTTCTAAGTTTGGTCACGGATTTCTTCTGCTACTCCGTCCGGCGCCCTTCCAGGCGGTGCAGCTCCTCTTCTTCCCAAGTAAAAATGAGTTGGGCCTATAATGGATTTCCATTTTGCAATGAAATCTATAAAATGAGGATAGTTTTCCTCACTCATGAGTTGAGGGAGCTCCCTTTCAGTCAAAATGTAGAGACCGGTTTCCCTGAGCAGTTTTGCTCTCAGTGCCTCATAGGCAGTACATGCTACGACAATGTGCTCGGCAGTCTCTGGGACTCCGCAACTGGGGCACAAGGGGTCGATATTCTTTCCAAATTGGAAGAGCTTTGCTCGGAAGCCCCCGTGTCCAGTGAGTAGTTGGGATACCCAATAACCAGTTTCCACCCATTTTGCTGCTAACCGGGATCCGATGGTGGGAAAATATTTTCTAAGAGTACTTCCTTTCGGAGTTGTTACCCATCGCTGGTTCCATTCGTCAAGGGTGTACTCTTGTATTATCTTTTTCCATCTACCTGGCTGTTGGTTAATCTTCTCACGGAGATTTTCTGGTAGACCTGCCGAGCCTTCTCTTGAAAGCTGGTGCTTTAACATGTCTTCCTGCAACAGGAGGTCGAGAGGAACACCTCCTGCCAGGACCTGTACTGCCTCATGAGGCACTGTCTTGAAAGCTCTGGTGACGCGCAGCAGAGCCGTCCGCTGAATCGAAGCCAACCTCCTCTTCTGGTGGTGCGAGAGATGCAGAAACCAACCTGGGGACGCGTACCTCAGAATACCCAGAACTACACCTTTATAAATTGTCTTAGTCGCTGGGTATCTGAGGCCCCAAAATGCACCCCCGATACGACTGAGTCCATTAAGCGCTAGGGTCACCCTACTTCTCAAATAGTCCAAGTGAGGTGACACGTTGAAATTTCTTCCTATTCTTACTCCGAGGTAGGTGACAACCTCACTCGGACGAATTCTCGATCCTTGGATTATCATTGTAATAGGGTGAGCCCTATCAGTCTTGCCTTTCAAGAGGATAGCCTGTGTTTTAGCAGCTGACATCCGCAGTTTCTTCATCTCGCACCATCTTTCTATCAGGTTGGCGCACCGCTCAGCTTCTTCTTTCAACCTGGCTCTGCTGTTCGACGCCACCACAACGGCTAAATCATCCACAAAAGCTGTGGCGGAGAACTGCTCTTCTTCGAGCACACCCAGCAACTCGTCGAAGACAAGTTTCCACAGAGCAGGGCCAAGGACAGAGCCCTGTGGACAGCCTTTCTCCATACTATCTTCTACTTCGTAGAAATTACCTCTTATTCGGAGCGTTCTATCCTGGAGATAACTTCTCATCAAAATGTACAAGTTGCTAGGAGTCTCGTATTTCTGCAGCTGCTGGAGTACACTTGGCCACCATACGCTATCGAAGGCGGAGGTGATGTCAAACAAGAGGAGCATGACATACTTCTCCGCCTTCTCTTCAACGTCATGGCGTACTCTCAGCAGGGCATCTGCAGTTCCCCTGCCTTTGGTACATCCATACTGCCGTGGATGGGAAGCTCTCGAAAAAATAGGCTGTAGGCTCGTGACCATCATGTTCTCCAACACCTTACTCATAACAGGGAGGAGACAGATAGGCCTATAAGACTTTGCCATTTGTTTATCCTTGTCACCTCCCTTGTAAATAAGTCTGAGATCGGCAATTTTCCACTTTTTTGGGAAGTAGCCCCTATCTAAGCAATCATTGAATATTGCCAGGAGTTGATCTTCAATGTAGGGAATACTATTTCGGAGGATTGCCGTATCAATATTGTCAATACCTGGGGCACGACCAAGCCTTTGTCTATCCACGGCAGTACGGAGATCCCATATGTCCCAGGGTGGGCACAAGTCTGTACCGGGTGGGCATACCGTAGTGCGTCTAATAAACGCGTCTCTCTCGTCATCTTGGGATGGATCATCTCTGGGGAAGGTCTCTATAATGAAATTTTTCGCCGTCTCCTCCAGAGTGGTCGCCTGGGCATCGCCGCTCTTCATTGCAGCAATCACCTGTTGTGGAATCATCTTAGCCAGGGCCACTCTGTAAGGGATACCCCAGGGGTTCTTGGATGACTCCTCGACGATAAACTCGTCCCAAGACTTCCGCTTTAGTGACCGCACTTCGTTTCGGTATGTCCTGGCCTTAGACTTGTACTCGTCACGAAGTGTAGTGCGCCTCTCGTCACAACTACACCTCTGGTACGACCGCCGTGCCTTGTAGAGTTCTCTCTTCATAATAGTGAGGGCCGGCGTCCACCATGGGACTGGTCGAGCTCTTGCCTTCCGGTGCTGGAGGGTTTCCTCTGCAGCATCACAGATGATATCTGTTATCCTGGAGACTCTGTAATCTAGGTCATCAGTCCGATCCGTCTCCGCCGCATCCCATTCATTGTCAACGAGTTTTCCCTCTAATGTGGACCGGAAGGCACTCCAGTTTCCTCTTTTTGTAATATAGCCTTTAGTTATGCCGTGGGAACTTGTAAGTGTCGCATTTTCTACGACACTAAACACTATTGAGTGATGGTCGGAACTCGTATCAGATCCGAGGGCCCAATCGGTGATGCGGTTAGCCAGCTGCGGTGATGCCAGAGTCACATCAATCCAACTCTGTCCCCTAGCACTAGAGAATGTAGGGATGGCAGAAGGATCGTTAATTACTACTAGCTGACTCCTAGATATGAAATCACCGAGCTTAGTACCCCTTCTATTTGTTCGATTGGACCCCCAAACCGTGTTCCAGGAGTTGGTATCTGAGCATATGATCACGTTTCGAGAACAAGCTGTGATCATCTCCATGGCGGATATGTCTTCGTTAATATCATTTCCATCAGGTAGGTAAGCCGATACAAGCGTAAAAGTGACGTTACTCCACCTGATGAAGCAAGCGACATTATCCGGCGTGGTGTACTGCCTCAGATCCATCACATCGAGGTTTGGGTTATTGACCACTATGGCAGCCCTGGGCCTCCTCTCTCCACTGCTCAGGGCGATAACCCTCGATGCGAGGCCGAACCCCGTGACCATTTTCCCACGGCAGCATGGTTCTTGGACCGCCATGACGTCGAATTGCTGGGAGAGAGCTCGAAGTTCATCTGCCACGATGCGTCGGCGGCCCATATTCAGTTGGAGGATGGTGATTCTATTCATAAAAAGTATTTTTTGCCACCTCCTTGGCCCACTTTAAGTGCACAGGGCATTCACGACTGCCTGCCTTATGCTTCCGTTGGCTAGATGGGACATTGGCCCGCTCGCAGTTTATACAGGTCGGACCAGTCAACTCTTTTTTTTGGGGGCAGTCCTTAAGCATGTGGCCAATAGTTGCACACCAGATACAGACTACGCCATCTACTGGGCAAGTTGCTTTAGTATGACCGTAGCCCTGACACTTAGTGCACCGTGGAGCGTCGATGTAGTCTTTAAAGGACATCGACCACCATCCTCCATCTAAGCTGGCTGTCTCTAAGAGTATAAATCTAACCATTGGATGAACTTCGATCACCCAATTCTTAGTAAAACCATTCCTTGCTATTGAAGAGAAAAGAGGCCGAATGTCATCAGGAACAAGTGTTGTGGCGCCCGATTTTTCAGATATTCTTCCCCATAGAAATTCCAACAGCTGCATAGATGTCCAGCTTTGAGGCACACCTTTTACTTCCATCTTGGGCTTCTTCTTCATAGCAAGTTTTGCTTGAAGTCCTTTTTCACGCAGCCCCTGCCACCCGATTACTTTGGTGGCTTCGGACCTATCATCCATGCGAACCAAGACAGAGCCTGCCTTTGTCGCTCGGACTATGGACGCCTTCACACCTATTTCATCCGGCGATGGCAAGCCATTAATAATGTCTACCGGAGTTTTGCCTACTCCGCTGATAGTGACATATGTAGGTCTTGGCGTTTGAGTCGGTTTAGCTGGCAATAATTTAACTATTTCCGCTATTGATTTTGGTTTTGTACCTTGTTTGTCGATTGGATTTTCCTTTGCATCAGGCTCTTTTTTGCTGGTAGCGTTGTTTCTCTTCTTTTTCCTTTTACTTACCACCACCGTGAAGGATTCAGAGGCAGCTGAGGGTCCAGCCTGATTAATGTTTTTTTCGGCTTGTGTCTGAGGTTCCTTCGAACGTTTAGGTTCTTGGTGAGGTGCTCCAATTGACGTGGTGAGTGTATCGGTATATTTTTGCGGAGATTTATCTACTAAAATTTGTTTCAATACATCATGCACCTTCTGTGACGAAAGCGTGTCCAAAATAGCCTTTTGAACTATGGCCGAGACTCCAACTTGTTCTTTTTCCTTTTCCTGATTTTCAATAATATCAACAAGGCATTGTACCTTGATATTAATCTGGTCTCGGACACTAGAGCTTAATTTTTTTCCATTATTTTCAATGGCCATTGAGATGCTCTCCTGTATATCTTTAGCCTGGCAAAGTTTGCTTTTAGTACTAGTCTCTTCCAAATCCTCTGGTAAATGAGAAGAGCCCCTCCTTGGTCGTTTTGCCACTGCTCTTGAGAGATTTCCTTCCTTTTGTACTCCCTCCATCTCGATATTGACCATAGGGTTTATTATAACTGAGATAACGTTATCTGCAATTTATAACCTTCCAGTTTTAAACTATAACTAATAAAGAACTAAATGAAGTACTATATTCACCTGAAATTGTTTTCATTTACCTTAAGGGGTCTCTTAATACACTTTTAAATGTCTTATTAGAATGGGCTTGCCCGAACAGCAGGAATCACTAGTGGTAAAAGTAAAAGTCTAGTACTCTATATACTTACTAAATTTGTTCCTACACAAGCAAGTAAATAAACTATCTTCACTAGGGCTTCCTATGGTGCTTTCCACCCACTGTAGAATAGTTCACAAGAATCTACTCTGTATGAAAGTTAATGAAATGTCCCACTCCTAACCTCGCTATTTATAATATTTACAATAAACTAAGCCATAACAACAAAACACATACAAAAAATAACACAAACTAACTAGAAAATTAATGAACGATAATAAACACGAAATAAACAAGAAAATAAGCACAGAATTCTGAAGAAAATTCAAGAAAATTCTCACCTGCAGATTGCCCGAAAGTACTGTAGAGCCTTATAAAAATATTTCGTCACTTCTTCTAGCAGGAGGAGGTCGATAGGCACCACCCCCGCTAGGACTTGCACCGCTTCATGCGAAGTTGTCCTGTATGCTCTGCTGACCGGAAGCGGAGCTGTCCTATGAGTCGACGCTAGCCTTTTATAGCCTTTTATAGCCCCTTCTCTAAATATAACTCTAAGGTACGTAAGGAAAGGGATAATACCTACAGATTTGTTGAATTTAAATTCGTTGCTTATGACATGCATTTTAAGAAAAAAAAAAATCAAATCATTCACATAGCTTATTATTTTCGCACCTCAATTTCTCTTATCCTTCAAAAACTGCCGCTCGAGTCAAATGCTTCGTCTACCTAGTAGAAGACTATGTGGAAGACGAGCAGGTAGCATTAGGTCCAAGTCAAGGAGCTTAGGACAATATTTTTAATCTTAAAATAGTAATGTTATAGTATTATAGGTTAGTGCTCATCTGGCAGCTATGAATTTGAATAAAAGTTGTAGAGGGAAACATATTTCGTCGTTTTATGGATTTTCAGAGTCAAAAGTTTCAAACCAGAGGAAAAAAAAAAAAAATGAAAAACATGGACGAGACCGCAGCAACAGGTGATTATATATGATCAATAATTTTTCTAATTATTGATTCGCTAGAACTTCTTTTAAGAAGGGAAGAGCAACAAAATTTCTTGGGAAGGAAGGAGAAATTCATGCGCCATCAACCTAGAGAGAAATGTGCCTCTCTGATGCAACGATTGATCACTAGGTTCTAAATCACATTATAGGAAGGTAACCTCCGACTCTTCAAATCTATTTTTCTTACAGTACCAGAAGAGAGCCCAAGATAAATATTATGCTAAATCATCAATTCAGGTCCGCAGCCAGTTGGAAGAAACCGAATCACTTAAGATGGATATATTATGAATCAGAGGCTAGGAAGAGAAACCAGCATGACAGAAATGAGAAGGAGGAGGTCGCGAATGAAAGGAGGTGGTGATCAATAAAGATGGTGAACCGAGGATATTCCCTGCAAAACGGCTCTCAAAGAAAATAAAAAATAAAAAAGTAAATCATAAATCTAAAATATATTTTCTTGTAATATGTTACTTACACCTGTTCCTGTCCCGCAGTTCATGACATGGCTGTTGCAATCGTAAGACTCCCAAGTACCTACAGCTGCTCCATCAATCGTACACTTTATTACATATCCTTTGAAGTGGGTATCTTCATATCCCCTTTTTGCTGTAAAAAAAATAAAAACTTCCATTAATTTCATCCAGGCACATGAGTTTGAAACCTCATTTATGTGAAATTAAATGAAGATTTCATTTGGATTCTTAAAGAATGATATACCGCGTAATCTAATCTCTTTTACACATTTACAAAATTGACTGTCCTAGAAGTATTTCGTATCATCGTGTTTGAGCTAACAGTTAACAATGCATGTCACGGCTGACAGGGCTGCTTTCATGTTTGATGACACCTCTATACCTACTCCCGGATTTTTTTTTTCTTATTCCTAAAGATGAGTAATCGAGATTATCACATTTTTCACTATTTAGGATGGAGTCCTTTATTCTGCATAAATCCTATACATTTTAAGAGAGTTATGAGGTGTTCAAAGGTTTTTAAAAATTGTTAAGTCGTTAGCCTAGTGATGGGACTCACTGGTTGTCTTATGTTGGTCCAGTTAGTTAGTAGTCCTCAGTCTCAGGGGTGCCTATCTCCCCATGGTCGATGGAGCAAGAACCTACTCCCCTTCCCTCCTTCCAAGATATTTTATTGCTCATCTTTTCTTAAAAAGAGAGCAAGCTAAGAAAGAATTAGAAAAATCGTAGATCATATACAATTACACTTGCTGCGGTATGTTCCATGATTTTCTCCTTGTACCTTAGTTCGAAAATTCATGACCCCGTCAAAATATGCCCCCCTCAAATATTTTGATGGCTCAACTTGCGCCATGAAATCCCCTTCTGGGCAGGCGTGCTCAGTCTAGTGAAGTCTGAGGCTTTCTGTAAATGATTGTCCTCTCTGTAGCCGTTCCGTTGTAGTTAGTGTCTTAAAAAGCGGACTTCATGATAGTGTGTTATACCCAAATTTATTCTTTCCAACAAATTGAAGTTATTTAATTCCTCGAGAAAAAATAAAAAGTATGTAATTTATGTTATAGTAATAATAATAATAACCTTTATTTGTGCATAAAATGAAAAAAACAATGGATCAAATTTACAAAATCTCTTATATGTACAAAATCAACTTAGTTGAGGTTTTGAGTTCGATTTATTTCTTCTTTTTTTTTTTTTATATATTTAACTTTCTTGTAACCACACTAGGTAATGAACCTGTCCCATCCTTTTCCATTCTTTCATCTCTAATGCTACTCTCTTCCAGGCTGCTCCCCCGCAGGTCTTCTTCATCTCCTTGTCCCAGTCGGTCGGCGGGCATCCTCTCTTCCTCACGTGCTCTCTTGGATACCAATCCATAAACTGTCTGGTCCATGTTAATTCATTCCTCCTGATTACATGTCCGGTCCAGGTCCACTTCCTGATGAGCACTTTTTCCACAATATCTGGAAGGTCAGTCTTAGCTCTGATCCATTTGTTTGTTTTTCTATCCCTTCGAGTTATCCCCAGAAGATATCGCTCCATTCCTCTGACGGTTATCCTCAATTTGTGGCAAGTCTTCTGGTCAATTGCCCATGTTTCACAACCATATGTCATGACAGGAAGTACTGTGCTCACCCAAAGTTTTCTCTTGACCTCTGAGCTCACCGAGGATCTATATATATCCTTAAATTTGAAGAGTGCGCGCCATCCCTGGGTACATCGCCTGATTATTTCTTCATTTTGTCCTTTGATTGAGATAAGGTGCCCAAGTTATAGAGATGTTTCTACTTTCTCTGTATGGTGTTCGCCTATTTTTATATCTCCCTCAACGTTCACTGACATATAATTGCATTTTTTATAATTTATTTTCAGTCCTATGTTATCTCCAGCCTTTATTAATTGGTTTGCCATCGTTAGGATTTCTTCTATATTTTTACCTATTAGGACTTGATCATCAGCAAACTCTAAATGGTTCAGCCACTCTCCAAAAATTTTCATTCCTTTGTTCTGCCAATTCATAGTTTGCATCAAATCATGGAGAACTGATATAAATATTTTAGGAGAAAGGGTATCACCTTGTCGTACACCTTTTCTAATTTTTATTTTTACTGTTGTATTTCCTGATTTGTATTCTGCATTGGATCTCGAATACATATCTTCCAGTATCCTGCATATTCTTGAACTAATGTTTCTCTTTTTCAGCATATTTATGATAGAATCGGTTTTTAGGGAGTCAAATGCTTTTTCCTAATCCAGAAAAAGGAGGCTCGCTGACAGATTATAGTCGTTAGCTTTCTTAATTAACTCTTTAATCACAAATATGTGGTCTACAGTAGAGTAATTCTTCCTAAACCCGGCTTGATGTTTTTCTAATTCTATATCCAATTTGTCTTCTATTCTTCTAAGTAGGATTTTAGAAAATATTTTATATAAAACTGAGAGTAGGCTTAATGGACGATAATTATTTAAATCTCACTTATCTCCTTTCTTTGGCAGAATTATGAGTTTTGCAGTTTCCCATTCTTCAGGAAAGCTTGCATTCTTAAGGCATGTATTATATAAGTGAGAGAGTGCCTGCGCTATTATCATTCCCCCAGCTTTTATGTGTGCAATTGTCAGACCATCAACACCTCCTGATTTGTCTTCCTTACAAATATCTATGACACTTAATACTTCTTCAATCATAATTTCTTCTTTTGGATCCCAGTTTTCTATGTTCCACTCCGAAGTTTTATCTTTTCTTTTATCATAATATAGTTTTTCATAATATTATTTTATTCTATTATTTATCTCCAAGTTATCATTTAATTCTTGCCCATTTTCATTTAAAATAGCAGTCATTTTTGTTTTAGAGATCCCTACCTCTTTTAGTTTACCTCCGGTCCTAATGGCTTCCTCCATCTTTTCTACTTTCCTTTCTCTCAGCCAGTTCTCAATTTCCTTTCTGATTAATTTGTTAAGTTGTCTTATATCTTGCTCCTTTTTTTTTTAAATTTCTTCTTTTGTTTAGAAGATTTTTAATCTTTCTTGGGAGATTTCGACAGTTACCGTCTATCTTGGAATTCTCTTCCTAAAACTGTTCAAGTACCTTTATTAATGAATTTGTTATTCCTGTAATTTGGGTTGAAGTTGTCATCTCTTGGTCTAACTTAGGCAAAACTGATTTCAACTTATCTTCAAAATTCCATTTTATTAGGTTTTCTGATTTAACTTTACTGGATCTCCTATTTTCTTTTTTATGTTTTACAATGGTGAACTTTTTATTCAACATTGCCCCAACTGGTCTGTGATCACTGCCAATGCCAGGGTGGTTTAAAACTTCCACATTGATCACTAATTGCTTATTTTTAACGATTATGAAATCTATTTCATTTTTTGTCTTTCTATCTGGGCTCTGCCATGTCCATTTGTTATTAGGATTTTTTTCAAAAAAGCTATTCATGATGTAAAGACCATTAGCTTCCACAAACTCAATTAGTCTTTTTCCTCTATTATTCAATTCACCTATTCTAAATTTACCCATATATTTTAAGTTACCTTTACTACCTATTTTTGAATTAAAGTCTCCGATTAATATTAATTGATTATATCTGTCCTCATCAATTGCTATTTGTAGATCCAAATAAAAATTTTCAATCTCACTTTCTTCTGCATCTGTAGTGGGAGCATAAACTTGTATTATTTTAAGTGTCATCTTCTGGTCTTTATTTAGCTCTATTAATAGCCTAGAAATACGATGAGTGTAGGTTTTGAATGACCGTATCTCCATTTCGTTATTTCTATTTATAAGAAAGCCAGTTCCACCTTGACCTTTTTCTGTACCATTATAATGCAGTGTTGTACCATCCTGGTACTCCAAACTGCCTGTACCATATCTCCTCATTTCTGACAGACCAATAAGAGACCATTTCATAACTTCCAATTCGTTTTTCAACTCGGTTAATTGAGAATCTGCCATTAGTGTTCTACAATTATAGGTGATTATATCCCATTTTTTCATCTGTGATAATTTTTTAATTTCCTTTTTATTTATTATCCTGTCGAAATTTCCATTGTCATAACCTATTTTATTAACCTGGTTGCCTATAAACTGCTAAGAATTCATTACAGAACCAGAGGTTCCTAATATTTTGTCACCCTCATTTGTGCCCTGTTTGAAATATCTCTCCAGGCTGCTGCTTCTTAATTTCAAAGAACTATTTATTTTCTTATTGGCTTGTTTTTTATTATACAAATCTTCTATCTCATTTTTCCGAGGTGACTCGGCCTTATTTTCGGGAGTGGATTCCTCACTTCTCTGTCTTTTAGTTCTTTCTGTTGTATCACTATTCATTAATTCATCCACAGCTGTGTCTTTTGATGCAATTCCTGACTCTATATTACTGCTCGGATCTTCAGATTTTAAGTCTTCTAAAGTATAAATGACACCATCAATAAATGCTCTATCTCCTCTATATTTTGCAATTCTTCCATTTTCACGAGCTATTTTAATATATGGCCATAATTCTTTCCTGGTTACTCTCTCTTGAGGAATATAATCGCAAGAGAACTTCATATTTGATTTAAGTTGCCAGCTTGCATTCAGAATCTGTATTTTTCTTCTCATTGCTATAAATTTTATCAACACCAGCCTATTCTGTTTTAATGGTGATCCCAATCTGGTGATCAAGTCTATCTCTGAAAGGCTGAGATTAATTTTCAAACAGTTATTTATAGCATTTACTACAGTCTCTTCCAGCGTTTTATGCGTTTCATTTGTGATGTTTTTAAAATTATATAATATTAGGTTTTTTTCTCTATTATTATATTTTTTTTAATCAATATTTTGGTTATTTTTTGAAATTTCGTTTTTAAATGCAGTTTTTAATAGGTTGTGTGACCGTTCTAAATTTTCTAGTTTTGATTTTAGTTCGTTCAACTCAATTTGAAAGCATTCCACCGATTCTTTTAAGGTTCTCATCTCCTCGTTTCCCTTTTTAACTTGATCGTTTGTATCCCTCAGAAGGGTCATTACGTCCTTTAAAGTAATTTCTGCAGCCATTTTTAGGTAAAACAATCAAATTAAATTAAGTGATCAACAGTTTATTTATTTATCACACAGCTATAAACTGATAATAGATAAATACCTCGAGCTTGAACACCACGATATGGGCGATGTGGTGGGGAGCTGCCAGATCCAGCCTACAATGAAGATAAGGGATGCCTGACCTGATATTTGTCGGATATTGCTACTATAATTGTACAACTACCTCTATTACTATTGTCACCAAATTTCACTAATCACTTCAGTAACACTTTATCTTTCACTGAGCAAAAAATCGTCGCCGTAGGTGTAGAATTTCTAAGCGTAAAACTATATAGCACAGAGACGATGTTACTAAGTCAGCGGTCTAGACCGAACTCCCTTATGTTATAGTAAATTTCTTAATTTTGTATTTAGAATTATTTTTTCAGTTTAAATTAAATTTAGATATGGCAGAAAAATTCTTATGGTCTCAGAGTGGACAAATGCTTTGAAACTAAATGTCTTCGAGAAATTCCAGAGACCTGAGGCCAGACGAATGGAGATGTTGGATCCATCTGCCGCGAATGTAGCTGAGAGTCCGAAACCCCAGCTCATTTATTGGGCAAATGTACAAATAACATGCTCTTTGTCATCCGTTGGCACAATAAAATAAAGTATCGAATATTCCGATTCCTGAAGACGAAAAATCTCAGATGCTTCCCCGAAGTTTATTGACTGAATACTTGAGAATTGGATTGGTATAAAAGAAATCGGATTGGCCTTTAGTCGAAAAGGAAAGGAGGCTCTTATATTTGATTCTACAATTAGATATGAGACGAACGATGAGCAGCAAAATCTCAAACTACAAATTCTGAAGTCGAGTAATGTGATACAGAGTATAGCTGAGTCCATTATAAACAACGAATGACATTTTTATAAACGAAGTATATCAAGCTGAGTCGTTGAAGCTGAAATCAGATGGGTTAGTGTGCTGTGTCTGTTGGGCAGCATTAAACTTAAACGTCTAATGAATTTCTCAATCCGCTTTATCTTCGGGATCTCAAGGGATACGCATATTACCCAGTTCTACACCGAGTTGAAGTGGCTCTATCCGTCCTACCGCCGTCAATATTTCCATGTTACCTTCCTATACCAGGCCATTAGAACACGGCGACCTGCCTATATTCTACAGATCCTACAATTCAAACGCTCCTGTAAATCCCTTCCCACCAGATCCCGTGCGTCCGACCTCTATCCTCTTCCTCACCGAGCTGCTGCGTTTGGTAAATCCTTTTTAATACAAGTTATCTCCCTCTGGAACTCTATACCTTCAGATATTCGACACGCAAAATCAATATCCTCTTTCAAATCTCTCCTCTTCAAACACCTACTCCATTCCTAATCCGATTGATCTCGAAATGCACTTAAAAACCTAAGCTGTAAAAACCTCAAAGTACACCCAGATACACTGATATTTCGTTTACTTAATTACTTCTTTATATATTTTATATTTACACGTTTTTATATATTTTTATTATTTATAACTTTATTGTATTCCTAATCAACCTGGAAATATTAAATTGTATTTTATTGACCCACCAAAATATTAATATATATTCTGTATTTGTAACTTGTTCTAAAGGGACAGTAGTCCCAGAATAATAAAATTATTTTCATTCATCACGATTTTATTGTAGTTCTCTCTAGTTTTTATATATATATATATATATATATATATATATATATATATTTTTTTTTTTAGTGGCATTTCTTGACATAATTATGGCATCTGTCAGGTTTGGCATCTGTTGTTCTGTCGGGTTTAGGCTGCTATATACACGGTGATATAATGTCAGTTTATTATTTTTAACAACGATATTTAATAGATAAATAAAAATAAATTTTAATCTTACGAACAAAACTTTTTTGTTTAACGTTTCAAGATACTTAGAATCCAAAAATCGAAAGTATAAAAATATTAACCGTGAGACAAAAGTGGAGCAAACCTCAGAGGTAAAGTTTAAAAATCCCAAAATATGTTTATTATAGTTGATAAGCTAGATGTTTATAATATGGCTCTTAACTATAATCAATTTAAAGATTACTATCATTATAGAAATACTGTATATTGATGATGCAAAGAAAGACATTCATTAAAATTTACTATCACCGTTAATTTGATTCTGATATCTCTGATCTATCAAATGTTTGTGTTGAAATAATATCAATAATCAATATATTCTTAAACATTGGTCCGATACCTCTGATTGTCGCATTCACACAATCGCCCGATTTGACTCTCCTTTTACTGAATCGCAACGTCCAGGGACATTCGCAATCTTGTGGTGGAATGCCATGATCTGGAATCAAGTGTTCACATGCGTCACATGGAGCTCCATTTTCATGTGCGCTGACACCAGCCAGTACCGCTACTGCAAATATGAAAAGAACTTCTGGGGAGTACCTGAAAAAAAATTAATGAAAATGAGAGTTTTTAAAAAATAGAAAAACATATTTATTAGGCCAACAAAGGGATGTCGAGCCTACCACGTCAGTCTCAATCTTCAGCTGCTACCACGCAGTTCCTCATACCATAGACTCTTCGGAATCGCTTTTCCTACACCATCCTTATTCCACGAAGCAGTAATATAGTTTAAATTTTAATAATAAGGTGGTCAATAGTTTAAACTTCAAGAGACTTCGAAAATTAGCCAACAATTAAATTGTTCGCAAAGCTAAACTGAAAAAAAAGTCTGCCAAGGTAGGTCAGTATAGCTTCCTCACCGTTTTCATTAGCTAAAAAATATCTATATTACAAGGTTTAAAATTTTTCGCGTGAGAATAAAAGCTTCGGAAAAAGCCATTTTCGGAAATTCAGTAATCCCTTAACATAGACGGGTTTGGTATCCACGAGTTTTGTTCATCAGCGAATAATAAAATGTGAAAAAGATCCGTATAAGTAGATTGCATATTTGCTGATTGGGGATTTTAAAAAAAATCGAGTGCGTACTGGACATAAATATGTAAACATCGAGTGTTTTACAGGAAAGCACAAAAACTAATTGTTTCGTTATGATTTATTAGAATAATTTCATAATTTATTGCCCCTGCTATTTTTCATCGTAGCAGAATGCTTATATCAGTTGCAGAATATAAAATATCACCATTAGCACAAATAGAATATAAAAGTTGAAAATGTTTACATACGACCTTTTGCAGTAACTGTAGTAATATGTACTTAATCGGCATTTTTCACTCCAAAAATGGATGGTACAAAACATCCATAAGAAAAACTAAACTTTTTGTTTTTTCGGACTTAACGAGACCAATATTTTTCTTCAATCAGAACAAAACTATTTAAGCTTGAATTTAAAAATATATGTAAAAATCACAGAAACGCGATACCACGCCGAGCTAATTGAACTTTAATAGAATTTAAACACAACCACAAATAAGATTTTTCTTTTTTACAAACTCAGAGTAAAAATTAATTTAAATTTATTGAAAATCACACGAAATCTAAGTAACGGCAGAAAGTATCATGCCAGTAACGTTTGGAATCGACGAAACCATGCAGTAGAAATTAACTCTTTGAATAAAACCTAAAATTTTATAACCACATAAAAATATCGTCTTAACCTAACTTCCACTCCATATGATCAGTGCTTTTCACATTCACTGCCATTATATTGTTAACGATTATTTATATTAATTTTAATTATTGAATAGAATTCAATGAAATTCATACTAGGTAATTTTTATATTATTCTCCAAAATTCCTCCAAGTTTGGGTCAGATTGAACACGTTGTTTTCAAACTATAGTCTTTTAAAATAATACGTTTACTGAACCGAAAGCAGAAGTATTTTTTTTAGGAGTAGTTCACAGAATTTGATAAAATTCATTCCTACCTGATTATCCGTTTACCAATCCCTAACTTCCCTCCAAATTTGAGTCAAAGCGAACGGGCGGTTTTAGAGATACAGACGTATCAAGGAAAACACGTTTGCGCATATATAAGAGAAATTAGTGGGCAGAATTCAATAAAATTGACATTGCGTTATTTTTTCACCATTGTCTACCTTTTATCCAACTTTGAGCCAAATCGAACATGCCCTTTCTGAAATATTGGTATATCTAAAAAAGTACGTTTGCGCGTGCGTAACTGGAAGTGCTGGATGGAATTTGAAAAAAAATGATATGGGGCCATCTAGGCACCAACCCGCACAATTTCTGAAAATTTCATAAAAATCGGATGAAAGGTACTAGGTGATATGTCCGTCACATCGATTTGCCTAAAGACAGACAGACAGACACCGAACCAAATGTGATCCTTGATGTCTGGAACGTAAAACGCGAGTGGAAATTTTCGATTCTAAGTACAAAATTTTTGGTTAACCTCTCGCACAAACACAATGCTTCCCTACCTTCGGTAGTGATGAAGCAAAAAAGGTGTATGCTTTAGACCATACCATAGAAGTGAAAACATCAACAATAACATGAAATATAAATTATAAATAATAGCCCATTATAAAGAGGACGAAATACTGTACATTTCCCTCGCTTGCAGTATGCAGTTCCGATTTTTAGTTTCTGAGATATTTTAATTGATATCTTCCATAAAACGCGTTATCATTTGGTTTTCGACAATTTTTTTCTTTTTCGCTCCTCTAAAACGGCGTTGTCTTAGATACAATTTTGAATAATAGCTCATTATAAAAAATATAGAATGCTGACAATTCTCTCGCTTACGGTATGCAGGTCTGATTTTTAGTTTTTGAGATATTTCAATCCATATGTAAAAACAAGTCAATTAGTCTACTCCAGCTATTTACTCGAGCGTTACATATCGGAAATCTGACGGATCAATCTAATTCACCCTCAACAAAAAAGTGCAAAATGCGCCTAAAGAAGCTTTCACTTAAAAAAACAAGAGAAACAGACAGAGAAAAAAAAATGATTAGGGCTATTTTTAGAGAAGAAACTTCAAACAATTTTTGTATTGGACTTTGTAACCAAAGAGATATGAAAGCCGTGTTAGTAGACATATCTCACATTTTAAAAACATTTTCAACTTAATAACAAAAGAATAAAACTAAATAATAAAAGAAGGTTCGAAGCCTAAAACGATCTATGATCCATCAATTGGAATACTCACATGTTGCTCTCTGAACGGATCACTCAGGACTGATGAACCAAGACATCAACTCTGAAGCTAAATACTCTGTTTTCCCCACTACCAACGGCTTCAAGATGTGCAAGAAGAAAAGATTCTTCTAAAATTCATGACTTATCTTTATTACTGTATGATAATACAGTAACGTTTCGTAGAGCAGGTTTTATCAGGGAAAAGTATTGATCGCATGAGTGCAATATAAAAATAATATTAATAATTATCAATAGAGATAAGATTTTTATATTCACTTATATTATTTTCTATGTATTTGCAAGGGGGCGCAGAATGGGGTGCCTCGGGCATCTAAATGTTTAAGGATACCTTTTCACGAGATTATGAATTTTTAGAGGTTTTTAATTTGGAGCAACTTTCAAACCAGAAAACTAGAGAAAAAAAAACTAAACTACGATTTTTTTAACTCTACTTTCATTTGCACAATTTTCGAGAAGATGAAAGCAGTAAAACATCTTAGGACAAAATGCGACATGAGGGAGGTATACGCCACCACCCTTGAGAAGAAGAATTAAAGTGCGTATTTCATTTACTGGTTTAATTAATATTTTAATTTATTTTACTCATTATATGGAACAATGTTCTTGTTTTATTTGTATTAATAGTCCGTGGTACAGATCCCATTTTATCAAAATATTAATATCCGCCTGAAACTTCGTAAATATCTTCATCTCATCACTAACGGATCCACGATTTAATTTAGGGGGGAGGGAAATTCAGCTCGAAAATTTTTTTTTGCATGTATATATTAGGATAATTACTTCAGAAGAAAGAAAGAAACTAATTACCAATATGAAATGGTGTTTAACAGATTTTTTAAGTACTATTAAATGTGATTAGACGAACAATAATACTTTTAGAGATATTTTTTTCATAAAACATGGTTGTATTTTACCATTTTGGGGGTGGTGGCTTCAGCTCAAAAGCCCTTCCCCTCTCCGCAGGGATCCGCCCGTGCATCTCATCGTAACCGACAAATATTTTATTTAAAAAATTCTCGGAATTGAATCGTTTTCAATCTAGAGATCGGCAAACTTTGTCTATCTATTCAGGTACTAGAACTTCGTAAATACCCATTTGCTTTCAACTTGGATCGTAAGATAATTTGATATCAAAATATAAAAAAAAAAGGTGGCCTACAAAAATGTTAAGCCGGCCAATATAATCTCGTTATTTTGACATTTTGGGAGTGGAGGTCACGCCAAACGGCTTAATATTTTTGCAGGCCACCTTTTTTTTCGATAAAATTCATGAGTTTTAAGTACATAATTAAATAGACAAATTTCGTCGATCTCCAGATTGATATTTATAGGTTACGATGAGATGAAGCTATTTACGAAGTTTCAGGCGGATGTTAATCATTTGATAAAAATGGGCCTGTACCACGGATTATAATGTTTTTTTTATTTAAAAAAATCATAGATAAAAATGAAATAGTTTTCTATTATTTTCCAAAAAATCAAAAATAAAAACCTATTTATGTCTTACAAAATTTTCTGGGAAGACATTACATTTATAAATTTGATTAACTTTGGTAACTAGTCGTCAATTCGAAAAATTCAAAATCTATTTTTTTTCCCGAGAGTGATCTTTTTTTTAACGAAACAGCTATTTTTATGAAGATAATTATAATAACAGTCTTGATAGTGTATCCTACTAGTAGAAGCTTCAATTTGAATCTTCACTTTTAAATAGTTAAAAGAAACAGCTTTCAAAATTCAATATGATTTGATTGTAACAATTTTTCTTTCTGTTGACTCTGCAGACCTTATAGATCTTTGCGCTGAACAGTTTCCACCATCTGCCTAATCTTGGGCTACTGCATTTCAGTTTGCAGCATGATAGCTCAGCCGTTATCTTTGTTTATTCCTATAGATCCATCTGGTTTTTGGCTTCCCAAAAACTACTACTACTCATTCGTGTGGTGTAAAGACGTTCTGATGGATTACTTCGAGCTACAAGCTCCGTCCATCTTAACCTCATTGCCTTCATATCATGAGATATTGACTGACAAGTTTCTTTGAGCAGTTCTTTATTGTTCCTTCTCTTCCACGTTTCAAGGTTCTGATCATAGGTCATGTTATCGTTCGGAGAACTTTTCTTTCAAATCTTACAATTCTGACTTAGTGTGCCGGTTAGAGATCTAGCCGGTTTCATAGCCGTACAGCAGAACTGGCTTTATCACGGCGTTGTACAGCCATTTTTTGTGATCTTTCTGGAGTTTTTTTGGATTTCAGTTACCTTTGAAAGAGAGATAGAAAGATCTGGTTCGCACTTGTTATTCGATGGGTCGATCTATGTTAGTTGATCATTTATTTAGGCTATTGTGGAGTAGGTATTGAATCTGTTACTTTGGGATTGACTAAAGTCTCGCGATTATGTTATTAGGGTGGATGATTTCGGTTTAGCCTACATGTATTTGATTTTATCTACATGGCCTGTAGCCGATTTGCCTAGCCGATTTGCTCTGCTTCTGCCGATTTGCCTAGCCGATTTGCTCTGCTTCTTTTAATAGAGTCCGAGCGAGTCTCTCATATATCCTCTTGATTGCTTCCGAGGACAGCTATATCATCGGGATATGCTAGGATTTTGTGTTTGATTCCAACGTGCACCCCTCCATCTTTGCCTGATGTTGTCCTTATTACTTTGTCTAGGGCAAAGTTGAACAGCCTCAAACCCATTCGAACTTCAAAGGCTTCAGATACTTCTCCTTGTATTAGTACCCTGCATTTTGGATCGTTTGTACACGCCTTCGCCAACCTCACTAAAAAACCATCAAAAATCACAAAACAAAGACTTTTGGCTGTTTTTAAAAATTCATTATTAAAAAGGATAAGGTTTTCAAGATTAAAATTTCATCAACATGTACTACACTGGTAGAATTATCAAAGGTATTTCTTTTAACCCCTTATCGCTAGCCTTCAAATCGCTAAAAGTATAATTTTTTTTTTCTGTCTCTCTTAATTTTCATGATTTTTTAAACCACTTTCCTTTCTTTTTAGGTGATTCATTGCTAAACAAGAATGTAGAAAAAATACTCTTCATTATTCCAGTTTTTATTTTGTTTCGATATCTACGAAATTGCCAGAGTTACAGACATTTTCCCAAAACATGTTTTCAGTCGAAAACAAATTAAAAATGGCAGCTGAGAAAAAACTGTAAGGTTTACAATTTTTTTAACGATAGTTTTTAACTCTCAAATAAACATGGAATAACTGATAAAAAATCATAAAAATTAAAAATATCAAGCAACCTGGTGTGGATGAATTCAAATGGATTGAGCCGTCAGATCTCCAATGTGTAACGCTCGGGTGAATTCGGCTAGAGTCGACTAATTGAAGTATATTTGCATACTGATTAAAATATCTCTATAGCTAAAAATCGGATCTGCGTACTGTAAACGAGGGAATTGTTGCATTCCATCCTGTCTATAATGGACTGTTGTTGAAAATTGTATCTTAATGCGACGCCATGTTAGAGTGGCGAAAAGGAAAAAATATTGTCGAAAACAAAATGATAACGAATTTTATGGAAGATATGGATAAAATATCTCAGAAACTAAAAATCGGACCTGCTTAGTGTAAGCGAGGGAAATTTTCAGCATTTCATCCTCTTTATAATGAACTATTACTAATAATTTATATTTCATTTTCTTAATTTCGTCATGTTGATGTTTTCACTTCTATCGTGTGGTCTAAAGCACACACCATAGGTCTTTTTAAAAAAAGTACACTATTTAAAGAACCAGGTATTATGTGTTTTTTAAATACAGTGAATATTAATTACAATGTATTTTCAGATAAAGTAGTTCAAATTCAAAATATTAAATATATTTTGTTTTTTAATAAAAAAAAATATGTCTCATGAACTGACACTTTACAACTCATTCTTTAATAAATATGTTTATTTTGGACAAGAAAGTTAGAAGACAGTGGACATAATTTTTTATATAATGTTTTTAAAACATTAACATGGATTTTTTTAAAATTGTATCATTTAGTATTTAACAATAAAAGTTATGTTTTGTCAATAATTCAATTTTTTATTTATTTTTTAAATATTACCAGGAGGGGGGAACCTCTCTCCGCCTAACGGCTGGCCAACCCCATTTTACGAACTGTTCATTCAATTGGACTACTCAAATTGTAGAGCATTCGCCACATTTTTATGATTTAACTATGAAGAAATAAAACTTTTTACTTTTCGTCATAATTTTATTTTCAGTTTTTCTCGGAGATGTATTACACACTTCATAATTATAAGAATAATAAGTGAAGATAAGTTTCTTCAAAATCTTAAGACCATTTTGGTTTACAGTTGATAGCAATTCACTTTTTTCAGGTTGTTGCACAGACTTTTTCTGATTTGGTTCAGAGAAATCGTTAGTCCGAGACACAAAGACCAATGAACGATATTAATTGGGGAGAGGGTCAAGATCCGTTATGAAAATTACATATCCAAATGTTATAATTACAAAACGTTTCACCTCTGTTTGCGAAAGGAAGAAAAAATAAAATGGCATACGGCGGACAAAAAAAAAAAAAATTGTATTCGATTTTCGAATTCTACGTATCCTGAAAGTAAAACCTCTAATTTTCAAGGGAGGTTATCCTTTTTTAATTTTTTGGTCGATTACAATGGTTCATTATTTAAAATAATAAAACCACAGTATTTATGAACTTTTATGTTATTTTAAAAAAGTAAAAATGCATATACCTAATGTGCTGTCCTCCTTTAGTCCATTCTACTTAATTTTAATTTTGATTGGAATGTCATATTAATAATATGTCTGCTCAGTTATGGTAATTTTTTAATATTGTTATCATTAGTGAAATTTTTTGGATGTCTCGAAATAATTATTTTAATTTTTAAGAATATGGTATAACTTTTGTTATCGATAGCTTATTATTCCTAAAACGAAGTTCGTGCTTAAAGATGGTTTACACCTGAGATAAAGCAGTCAATAACACGAGTTATTAACACGCTACTATCATTGTTAAAGAATTACTCTAAACAATATTGATAACCGTTACTTTCCGCTTGATATGATATAAATTATAACTAATGCCCTGGCCTCGTGGATGGGGAGTAAGACGATGATTTCTAAGAAAATAAAACCAAATCGACAAAATAGACGACATTTTTACATTTTTGAAGATTTGGTCATAATTTCATCTTGAGAGTCAGAATCGAAGTCTTAATATATTGATCGATTCCTTTAAACCAGAAGAAATATCATCGCCATAAAAAAAAAAAAAATTATGCGGATTACACCTCAAACATCTGTCACTTTCTACCTATTTTATATAATTCTTAAATCGGATTATTTGAACATCATTTAGCATAAGCGAACGAATACACACACATACAACAGGCGGATCTACGAGGGGGGAGAGGGGAGCTTTCGGGCTGAAAGCCCACCCCTTCTCCAAAATGGTAAAATATAACCATGTTTAATGTAAAAAAAATATTAATAAATCTGGTGCGCGCAACACACAACTTTCACTTACCGCTGCTTTGAATAGAAATTATTTTCTGACAATGTTGAGCTATTATAATTTTTTTTAAAGTGTATTGGTTTATTATTTTCAATAATCAACCATTGTGATCGACCAAAAAATTCAAAAACTTAACCCCCTCTCAAAATTTGAGGTTTCACATTTCAGTGCGCGTAGAATTCGAAAAACGAATAAAAATTTTTTTGTCCGTCCGGCGTCCGCGCATTTTCCCCACAACTACTGGACCGATTTTTTTCAAATTTGGATATAAAATCAGAGGTCACCCGAGGATGATCCTCCTTAATCGAAATTACTATCCGCCTTTTACTTTCAAAATGGCGGCCGAAAAACCTGCGTTGCTATAGACTGTAGCTCCTAAACGAATGTGCAGATTTCAATGAAACTTCGCTAAAGTCATTTTCTCGACGCCCTTTAAATTTATGTATATAACATACTTCAACGAAAAGAAGCTGGAAAAAAAAAGTTACGAGGGATGGTAAAATTAAATTCCGGATAGCTCGAAAAGTTTGTACTTTTTTTTGATATTGTATATAGTGTTTGTATACAGTATATATAGTTTTTTTAAAAATTTACGAAATTTCCTAATAAACAAAAATAAAAAAATCATTAAAATCGGACAATTAGGAGCAAAGATATGGTCTTCGGGTTTTTTTATGTTTTTCTCCAAATGTTATATCCTTTTATATCCTCCAAATGCTATTTTTTTTTAGCATATTACTAATGATTAAAAAAAAAAAGTTTAGACCAGTAATTGGAATCACGTTTTGTTTATTTTTCTTTGTAACTCGGAAGGTAATGTTACTTTAGATGTATAATTGTTTGGAAATAATGAACCATTGCGAAATAATTTGCAGCGTTTTTTAAATGGAGGTAAAGCTTAAAGCTTACAGATAACAAAGACCATTGAAATTACAACAACTCCATTTATTATATCGACGGTAGATTACATTTAAACATCACTAAAAACAATAATAAAGTCATTCTGGAGTTAAACATTCTGTCAACTGGAAGGCTCATATATGCCTAGTGAGATTTGAAACTACTTCTGAATACATGTTGTTTTAAAGCATGGACATTGTAAGTGGATAATGTTGGGATTTCACAAAAGTAAAATTAATAAAGTTATTCATTAATTTAATTTTCTAAAAGGTGCACTTGATGATTAATCGGAATAAACGCCCGATAGATGCCTAATTATTTAAATATAATATGTGATCTAGAGTTATTAAACTATATTAAATGTATTTAAGGTTATAAACATATGCTTTATACATCCATGAAATGATTTTATATTTTACTTCTTTCACACAAGTACAATGAAATAGTTTTTTAAACAATGTCATGGCCATTTTTGAGAACATTGTGAAAATTTGTTTCAGCGTTGATACAAAGTGGCACTTCCGGTTAGGCGATTTTAAGGAAAAAGTTGCTGTCACATCTAAGGCATATACCTATCTTAAATAAATAATTTCAGTTGCGTAAGACTTTTCGTTTTTGAGCTAGACTTCTAACATACACACACACACACAGAGCATTTTTCGGGACTTCGTTATTTGGACTCCAGCGTACCCCAAAACGTGTATTTCCGTTGAAAACTCAGATTCAAAATTTTTCTCGATCGCAATACTTACCCTTACTAAATATTACATTTATACGTTAGTGAAAGTAAAAAGCTTTCGTGCTGAAGCCCTCCAAAATTAAATCCTGGATCCGCTAGTGACACACACAATATACTAATACACATGCTTCAAAGAAACTCAGTACTAAGTTAAAAGATCATTCAAATAAGAATATTTTAGTTTTTTTCATTAATCTAGTTCTATTCTACATTGTATCCAACTCAAAATGCAACTGATTAATTTCATGCAAAATCATCCACTACATATTGGATAAATGGATTATTAAAAAGAACACGTAATAGGATTACAGGTCGAAGGCAATGGTATACCGGAATTAAGTGGGCTCACAGAAACGAAGATCACGGAAGACTCAGCGAAGAATCCCTGGGGTATCCCATACAGGGTGGCCCTTGGAAAACTGACCCCACAGGTAGTCATTAGAGCCCTGAAGCAAGGGGGCTCTCAGGCAGCCACTCTGGAGGAAACAGCAAAGATGTTTATTAAAGAGATATATCCCAGGGATGATCCATCACAGGATGATAATGACCATACATTTGTGAGAAGAGCCACGGTATACCTGCCTGGGACGGACCTGTGCCCATCATGGGATATTTGGGATCTCCGTAGTGCCGTGGAAAGGAAAAAGACTGGCCGGGTCCCAGGTTTGGATGCGATTGATGCGGCAGTGCTCAAGAACAGTATTCCCTATCTAGAGAATAGGCTCCTTGCGATTCTCAACGACTGTCTAGATAGGTGATACTTTCCAAGAAGCTGGAAAATTGCTGATGTCAGACTCTTCTACTAAGGAAGAGACAAGGAAAGGCAACTTGCCAAATCGTACGGGTCCATTTGCCTCCTTCCTATAATGAGCAAGGTATTGGAAAACCTGGTGCTCTTGAGACTTCGGCTAGTCTTATCAAGATCGAGCCATCCACGGCAATATGGATCCACTAAAGACAAGGAAACCGCAGATGTCATATTGCGAGTAGGTCATGATGTAAAAGAAAGAGCGGAGGGGTAAGTTATGCTTCTCCTGTTCGACATATTCTCTGCATTTGACAGCCTATGGTGGCCGAGTGTTCTCCAGCAACTCCAGAAGTATGAAACTCCCAGTAACCTGTATGAACTAGTGAAAAGCTACCTCCAGGACCGGACATTGAAAATTAGGGGCAGATTCTTTGAAGTAGAACACACCTTCGACAGGGGCTGCCCGCAGGGATCTGTTCTGGGTCCTGCCTTGTGGAAGCTAGGCGAGTTGCTGGAGAAGCTCGAAGAGGAGCGGTTCCCTGCCACGGCATATGTTGACGATTGGTGGCCTCAAACAGCATAGCCGGTCTGAAAGCAGAAGCTGAATAATCCGCCAGTTTGGTAGGAAGATGTTGCGAGAGAAAGAAGTTAAAGATGGCTGCAAAAAAAACCCAGGAAATTCTCTTGACGGGTACGACTGACAGGGCACATCATATTATGTTGAGTATAGAAGAAGAAAAAGTTGAGTATAGAAAAAGAAAGGATACATCCAAGTGAGGTTGTCACCTGCCTTGGCATTAAAATTGGTCGAAAGTTCAACGTGACTCCTCAACTGGACTATATGAGAACTAGAGGCACAGTGGCCCTAAATGGACTCAGTCGTGTCGGAGACGCCTTCTGGGGTCTCAGATATCCAGCTACAATGACTATATATAAAGGAGTAGTTTTGGGTATTCTGAGATATGCCTCCCCAGCCTGGAACCTAAATTTCTCGCACTGACAGGCTTGCGGACTCGCACTGACAGAAAAATAGGCTTGCATCGATTCAGAGATTGGCTTTACTTCGGGTTACTAGAGCCTGTAGAACGATATCTCATGAGGCAGTGCAAGTACTGGCAGGAGGGATACCTCTCGATCTCCTCCTGCGAGAAGACTATGGATCCTGTTTTAGGGTCTGGGTGGGATGATAGGATGGCAGTATCACCAGCGAATGTTGCTAGAAGTGTATTGGGATTCGTAGGAATGGCAGCTATGAAGAGGATGTAGTGAACTAGACCTAAGACACTGCCTTGTGGAACACCATCCTCAACTGGATAGTAATCGGAGAATTTGAGGTCATGATGGCTGAGTGTGTTTGAGCGTAGTTCATTTTAGCATCCGGTTTGAATCCGGCCTGGGAGTGGTTAACTTTTATTTTGTGGCTGAATGAGACTCGATCCTCCCACTCTGGTTAGAATAGGTTTGGTTGCACATCTAGAACAACCCTCCCGTATGCCAGAAACGGTTGGTAGGGTGTTATCCAATAAAATAAAATAAAAGTAATTGTAGAATTCAGTACTGTAGCAGACTCAAATGGAATGATTCAAATCATTGTAGTGAATCAATTCTTATGAACGATTTTTCGATTGATTCTTGTTATCTTCTTTTTTTCTTTCAATTAAAAAAGAACTTTTTATTGAAAAAAAACAAAACAAACATTATGATTATTTAAACAAAAACATTTCTTTTTTAAAGTTAATGAAATTAAGAGTCCTGGTTCAAATGCATATAAATAAAAAGTTATGAATCTTAAAAGTAGAAAGGAAGTTTAAATTGGAAAGGAAATTTTTTTAAAATCTTAAACATTAGATTTTGGTCTGGATATATAAATTGTAAATGATTGATATTGAAAAAATGAATTCAAGATCTTGCAACAAGTTTAATAATAATAGGCTCATCAGTTGCAGTGATGAAAGACTTTGCTCCCATTACTAGAGGGATCGCGGTATCTTCGCATGGTTCAACCTTAAATTTTTGAAGGAGAGTCACAATTCCCAGCTTGGTTTGAAGAAGTCCAAATCTCATTCCTATTTGAAAATAAATTTATGTCATTATTAATTAGAATCAATAATTTTAATAACAGGTACAGTATTGAATTTAATATTCAAATTATACAGGATATTCATACTGTTGCTATAAATTAATTATTGTAATATGAATAAATAAATTTTAAAATAACAAAAGTATTATTAAACATTAATAGAAGAGATAATTATCAGGAGAGTTAATCAAATTGAAAATCATAGTAGCGCATAATAACTTAACGACTCGTAAACAGAACATGATATGGTGATACAGTTATATTACTATATATTCCATTATAAAAGTCACATAGAGCGTGATACCTCTCAGCAAAACAGAATGTATTCCTGTGGCCAACAATAAGTTTATACCTCGGTCAATAGCAGAGTGGATTTAGGAAAGAAATATTCACCACAGACCAGATGTTCTGTGTGCGAACCATTCTTGAAAGAGGCCATGAGTCCAAAACCAAAACTCACTACCTTTCATCGATATCAAAGCAGCATAATAGGTGAAGAATTGTACAGCGCCCTAGGAGAATTTAACATACCTGAGAAACTTATATAGTTCATAATAAGCTCTCAATAAAGGATGTGAGATGTATGGTCAGTGTAAATGGCTACAGATCCGAGGAATTTTGTGCAGGTAAAGGATTCCGACAATGGAATGTGCTAGCCTGTATGTTATTTAACGTAGGACTTGAGAAGGCCGTAAAGGAAGCTAGTTTACTTGAACTACAAGGAAACATATTTACTAGGCTTGTCTAACTGTTGGTCTATGCTGCTGACGTAGACATTATGGGACACACCCTGTTGACCATGGCTGATGTTTTTCTGGCACTGGTAGGCCCTGCTAAAAGACTTGGGCTGGAAGTTAATGAGTCCAAAATAAAATATATGGCAATAAAATATATATTCCATCCCAGACAAGATAGTCATCATTTCATAAATTTAAGAAGGTCTCTGAGTTTACTTATCTGGATCTGTGGTCACTCAGGATAATAACCCTGTTATTGAAATAAGGAGAAAGATTATAGAAGCCAACAAATGTTACTTTGGTGAAGGAAATAGTTAAGCAGGTGGATACTTTACTGGCAGACCAGGCTCCACCTCTATAAGAAATTTGTGCATCCCGTACTTCTTTATAGATCAGAGTGCTGGACAATTTTAAAGGAACTCCTTATTTTTGAAAGATAAGTTCTCCTCCATGTTTTTGGAGGAGTGAAAGGTGGAAGCGGTGCATGAACCAGGAGCTGTTTCAACAATGCTTTCAGGAATGCTGATGTGAAGGCAATGAATTTGAGGCACTTACGAATCTCAACTTTGTTTCTCCTTAAAAAAATATTTGAAACCACTTTGCTCCTTTAGGCGTTACAAATTCTTTATTTCAGAGATAATTCTTTTCAATGATTTTTTTTTTTTTTCATTTTATAGAGAATTCAGGAGGCTTTCAAATGAATATGGGTAAAATCAATCGAAAATTGTGGACTTTTTGAGTTATTTGCAAATAAAATTCTAAATTCATCATAACATTTTTTGTAGTTTGCTTTCGGAAAGTATGTTATATACATAAATTAAAAAGACTTCACGGAGAAGACTTCAGCCAAGTTTAATTAAAATCGTTACAGCTCTTTTGAAGCTGCAGCCTATAATGACGCATTTTTTTTTTGGCCACCATTTCGAAATGAAAGGCGGGATGGTAATGAAATATATATAAAAACACTCCTGAATCCAATAGAAATGTGTCAAAATTTCAAAGCAATTGGTGGAAAACTTTCGGGGATTAGTGATTTTGAAGAAACTAACATTTACATTTTTATTTATATACAGATTCCAATTTTTACTTTCACTTATGTATATATGTAATATATGTGTAATATATGTGTGTGTGTGTGTGTGTGTGTGTGTGTGTGTGTGTGTGTGTGTGGTGTGTGTGTGTGTGTGTGTGTGTGTGTGTGTGTGTGTGTGTGTGTGTGTGTGTGTGTGTGTGTGTGTGTGTGTGTGTGTGTGTGTGTGTGTGTGTGTGTGTGTGTGTGTGTGTGTGTGTGTGTGTGTGTGTGTGTGTGTGTGTGTGTGTGTGTGTGTGTGTGTGTGTGTGTGTGTGTGTGTGTGTGTGTGTGTGTGTGTGTGTGTGTGTGTGTGTGTGTGTGTGTGTGTGTGTGTGTGTGTGTGTGTGTGTGTGTGTGTGTGTGTGTGTGTGTGTGTGTGTGTGTGTGTGTGTGTGTGTGTGTGTGTGTGTGTGTGTGTGTGTGTGTGTGTGTGTGTGTGTGTGTGTGTGTGTGTGTGTGTGTGTGTGTGTGTGTGTGTGTGTGTGTGTGTGTGTGTGTGTGTGTCTGTGTGTGTGTGTGTGTGTGTGTGTGTGTGTGTGTCTGTGTGTGTGTGTGTGTGTGTGTGTGTGTGTGTGTGTGTGTGTGTGTGTGTGTGTGTGTGTGTGTGTGTGTGTGTGTGTGTGTGTGTGTGTGTCTGTGTGTGTGTGTGTGTGTGTGTGTGTGTGTGTGTGTGTGTGTGTGTGTGTGTGTGTGTGTGTGTGTGTGTGTGTGTGTGTGTGTGTGTGTGTGTGTGTGTGTGTGTGTGTGTGTGTGTGTGTGTGTGTGTGTGTGTGTGTGTGTCTGTGTGTGTGTGTGTGTGTGTGTGTGTGTGTGTGTCTGTGTGTGTGTGTGTCTGTGTGTCTGTGTGTCTGTGTGTCTGTGTGTCTGTGTGTCTGTGTGTCTGTGTGTCTGTGTGTCTGTGTGTCTGTGTGTCTGTGTGTCTGTGTGTCTGTGTGTCTGTGTGTCTGTGTGTCTGTGTGTCTGTGTGTCTGTGTGTCTGTGTGTCTGTGTGTCTGTGTGTCTGTGTGTCTGTGTGTCTGTGTGTCTGTGTGTCTGTGTGTCTGTGTGTCTGTGTGTCTGTGTGTCTGTGTGTCTGTGTGTCTGTGTGTCTGTGTGTCTGTGTGTCTGTGTGTCTGTGTGTCTGTGTGTCTGTGTGTCTGTGTGTCTGTGTGTCTGTGTGTCTGTGTGTCTGTGTGTCTGTGTGTCTGTGTGTCTGTGTGTCTGTGTGTCTGTGTGTCTGTGTGTCTGTGTGTCTGTGTGTCTGTGTGTCTGTGTGTCTGTGTGTCTGTGTGTCTGTGTGTCTGTGTGTCTGTGTGTCTGTGTGTCTGTGTGTCTGTGTGTCTGTGTGTCTGTGTGTCTGTGTGTCTGTGTGTCTGTGTGTCTGTGTGTCTGTGTGTCTGTGTGTCTGTGTGTCTGTGTGTCTGTGTGTCTGTGTGTCTGTGTGTCTGTGTGTCTGTGTGTCTGTGTGTCTGTGTGTCTGTGTGTCTGTGTCTGTGTCTGTGTCTGTGTCTGTGTCTGTGTCTGTGTCTGTGTCTGTGTCTGTGTCTGTGTCTGTGTCTGTGTCTGTGTCTGTGTCTGTGTCTGTGTCTGTGTCTGTGTCTGTGTCTGTGTCTGTGTGTGTGTGTGTGTGTGTGTGTGTCTGTGTCTGTGTCTGTGTCTGTGTCTGTGTCTGTGTCTGTGTCTGTGTCTGTGTCTGTGTCTGTGTCTGTGTCTGTGTCTGTGTCTGTGTGTGTGTGTGTGTGTGTGTGTGTGTGTGTGTGTGTGTGTGTGTGTGTGTGTGTGTGTGTGTGTGTGTGTGTGTGTGTGTGTGTGTGTGTGTGTCTGTGTGTGTGTGTGTGTGTGTGTGTGTGTGTGTGTGTCTGTGTGTGTGTGTGTGTGTGTCTGTGTGTCTGTGTGTCTGTGTGTCTGTGTGTCTGTGTGTCTGTGTGTCTGTGTGTCTGTGTGTCTGTGTGTCTGTGTGTCTGTGTGTCTGTGTGTCTGTGTGTCTGTGTGTCTGTGTGTCTGTGTGTCTGTGTGTCTGTGTGTCTGTGTGTCTGTGTGTCTGTGTGTCTGTGTGTCTGTGTGTCTGTGTGTCTGTGTGTCTGTGTGTCTGTGTGTCTGTGTGTCTGTGTGTCTGTGTGTCTGTGTGTCTGTGTGTCTGTGTGTCTGTGTGTCTGTGTGTCTGTGTGTCTGTGTGTCTGTGTGTCTGTGTGTCTGTGTGTCTGTGTGTCTGTGTGTCTGTGTGTCTGTGTGTCTGTGTGTCTGTGTGTCTGTGTGTCTGTGTGTCTGTGTGTCTGTGTGTCTGTGTGTCTGTGTGTCTGTGTGTCTGTGTGTCTGTGTGTCTGTGTGTCTGTGTGTCTGTGTGTCTGTGTGTCTGTGTGTCTGTGTGTCTGTGTGTCTGTGTGTCTGTGTGTCTGTGTGTCTGTGTGTCTGTGTCTGTGTCTGTGTCTGTGTCTGTGTCTGTGTCTGTGTCTGTGTCTGTGTCTGTGTCTGTGTCTGTGTCTGTGTCTGTGTCTGTGTCTGTGTCTGTGTCTGTGTCTGTGTCTGTGTCTGTGTCTGTGTCTGTGTCTGTGTCTGTGTCTGTGTCTGTGTGTGTGTGTGTCTGTGTGTGTGTGTCTGTGTGTGTGTGTGTGTGTCTGTGTGTGTGTCTGTGTGTGTGTCTGTGTGTCTGTGTGTCTGTGTGTCTGTGTGTCTGTGTGTCTGTGTGTCTGTGTGTCTGTGTGTCTGTGTGTCTGTGTGTCTGTGTGTCTGTGTGTCTGTGTGTCTGTGTGTCTGTGTGTCTGTGTGTCTGTGTGTCTGTGTGTCTGTGTGTCTGTGTGTCTGTGTGTCTGTGTGTCTGTGTGTCTGTGTGTCTGTGTGTCTGTGTGTCTGTGTGTCTGTGTGTCTGTGTGTCTGTGTGTCTGTGTGTCTGTGTGTCTGTGTGTCTGTGTGTCTGTGTGTCTGTGTGTCTGTGTGTCTGTGTGTCTGTGTGTCTGTGTGTCTGTGTGTCTGTGTGTCTGTGTGTCTGTGTGTCTGTGTGTCTGTGTGTCTGTGTGTCTGTGTGTCTGTGTGTCTGTGTGTCTGTGTGTCTGTGTGTCTGTGTGTCTGTGTGTCTGTGTGTCTGTGTGTCTGTGTGTCTGTGTGTCTGTGTGTCTGTGTGTCTGTGTGTCTGTGTGTCTGTGTGTCTGTGTGTCTGTGTGTCTGTGTGTCTGTGTGTCTGTGTGTCTGTGTGTCTGTGTG